CCCTGCAGAAAAATAAATAAGAATTCATTTATTCCATCAACTGCTGGTACCCGCGTACAATAGTGTTCAGTTAGAGATTTATTTCCATGTGGATGTCACAAGGGATTAAGCAAAACCTTTCTCTAACCAGTATCTCAAGGCGTGGTCATTAATAGAACAGGAGACCCCAACATCTTGAATTGATAAGATTTGCATTACATTGCAGACTTTCCTTCAAAATGGATTTGGGGTTGATGTATTCATTCAGAAATAGTTGTCCCAGTGATGGAACCTTACAAAGCAACTGGTTATAAGGTCAGCTCCACAAGGATGCATTCCATCACACGATCAGCTTTTTTTCTATTTCGATGGGGCCCATTTAGAGCTTAAAAGCATTCTTGAAAATAAAGATGTCAAGTCAAGACACTTCTTCTGCAGCATACCAGTTTAAATGAAGAAAATGTTAAAAAAAATCAAATTCAGGAAGCTTTCTGGTTATCCAAAATAGTATTTGCATATGTATTAGGACTTCTGGTTCTGTGTAGCCAAATCCTGTCATATAAAGCAAAAGGGAAAAAAGTACACTTTTCTATTGCTAGTGTGCACCAGCACTTTTGAACTTAATTTTCGTTGGTTGTTCTGTCAGATCTATCCTTGTACAACTTGTGCCCATACAGAAATTATGTTTTAGTGGCTCTGTGATTTCTTCTCTTATAATGTAGTTAATCCCCTAGCAAGGGATAAATGATCATGAACACAGTGGAAGTACTTTTCTGCCACAATATATAAATTTCAACTCAGAAGTAATTTCCATCCTATATAGGATTCAATGGTGCTTATCCCCGTAACTATCAATGAAGGAGGATTACCCTTTGATGTGGCAGAAAGGTCTTTAGCAGCTTTGGAGGCAGACTCATTTCAAAATGAATAAAATTAAGCACTCTTGTGCTCCATTTTTTTTACTCTGGTGATATTTTATGTACGCTGTACTTGGTCCTCTCTCCTTTTCATCTAGGACAATGGCAGCTAATTTTTTTCTTCCTTTACACACATCTTAAATTGTCAAATTTGAAAAACACTGTTCTACACAGTTCTGAATTCAAGAGTGCTCACTCACAGGATTAAACAGACGGGCAATTTCTAGTTTTTGCAAGACAAGGGGAATTTGTGAAATTGAGTCCTATGCCGGGCACTGAGTACAGTTACCTCAACCACAATTGTCATTCCCATAAAAATCCACCTACATTGGCCCTTGGAACAAGCTCATCTGTCAAGATTCCTGCAGAGTGACTTAGGTGGCAGGGGGACAGGGATAAACAGCACTGTTCTTCACTAAACTGGCTATTCTGTGAAAGTAACAGAAAGAGGGAAATGAACCACTAGTACAGTGTTTCTCAACCTTGACAATTTTAAGGCATGTGGACTTCAACTCCCAGAATTCCACAGCCAGCAATGCTGGCTATGGAATTCTGGGAGTTGAAGTCCACATGCCTTAAAATTGTCAAGGTTGAGAAACACTGCACTAATAGATATAAAGATCAAAATGGTTAGCAGAAATAATCATGGAGTCATGAAAGGAGCTGTCCCTAGAGATAAGGCCTGCTTCTGCTTCACTTCTCTGCTGCAAGGAGGTCTATAATAAACTGTTGATTTCCTTTATTCAAGCCAGTCTGGAGACTGGAAGGCACGGATGAAACCAGTAACCCCATTTAGGTGTTCATACATGTGCATTCTTTCCACATGTAAGCATGCAAACAAAATAGTCTGTTTAGCTTGCAAGAAAGCATGTAAATTACAATGGCTGCTGTTGGCAACTCACAGCTTAAAAGTGGACAACATGCTGCTCATTTCCTCTTTTGAAGTTGCAATGCAAATCAGATCCTTTTACAACATTTGTTAACTCATTTTTTTTTAAAACTGCAAGCAAGATCAATAATGTGTTCCCAGGAATCATGTAAACAAGTAAACAATCCCATTGATTTATTTTTTTTTACTTTTTCAAGGTACATATTTGACCTTTATTTCAACAATATTGATAAAGGGGATATAACAAATATAATACTTCATTTACATTTGTAGTTCCTTGTCTAATTAACATGAATGTAAATTTTGCATGTGGAAAAAGTAAATACATTATCCTACATTAATCTCCAATTTAGATACTCTAAAATTAGAATTGGTTACAACAGAGCAGGTGCAAATGATTAGAACATACAGGTAATCTTTGACTTACAACCACAATTGGGACTAGAACATTTACTGCTAAGTGAGGTGGTCATTGAGTCACATTTTATGACCTTGCTGTGGTCACTAAGAAAATCAATTGGTTGTTAAGTGAATGATGCTATTGTTAACTGAATCTGCATCTCCAATTGATTTTGCTTGTTGGAAGCTGGCTGGGAAACTCAAATGATGTGACTCTAGGGTGCTGTAAATGTCATAAATAAATGCTGATTGCCAAGTGCTTGATTTTTTATTGTGCCTATGGGGAGACTACAACAGTTGGTCAGTGCAAGAACTGGTCGTACCACCAACATAACTTCAAATGATCACTAAACAAATGGTCATAAGTTGAAGACTACCTATAATGAAAGGATCAGGGAGAAACTTGTCTTATTAAAACCAGTGACATTTCATTTTGCTTTTTGAATACTCTGAGGCCTTCAGAAAATAAGGTTATAGATACCTATGAATCTGGGAAGGGATTTGAAAAAATGGCCAAGCAATTGGACAATGATCTTAAACATTCGATCCTCACCAGCTCAAGGTTGACTCAGCCTTCCATTCTTGCAAGGCCATGAAATGAGGACTGAGATTGTTGGGGACAATATGCTGACTCTAAACTGCTTAGAGAGGGCTGTAAAGCACTGTGAAGTGGTAAATAAGTCTTAAGTGCTATTGCTATTCCAGTAAATCCACTAAAGAATAGCTGGGGGGGGGGAATGAAAGTCCTTGAATGGCCAAAATCTACATCTAAATGCCATCAAGGTGCTGTAGGGTGATTGACCAAGGGATATGCATACAAGAAACCCCTCAAATATTGCACAGCTGAAGAAAATTCTGGGTGAGGAATGGAAAAACTGTTTCCAGAGATTGGGAAAGAATTATAAGAAGTGCCTACTTACGGTTTCTGTCAAGGATGTATTTTTCACAAAAGGAAATGGCATATCTATTAATTTTTATTGAATAAATTATTGCAATGTCAATTTTTCATATTTTAGTTCAATTACATCAACTTTTTTTGAAATGTATGTGGGCATAACATTTTCAGTATATTACGTTGATGTCATCATTTTAGCCATTGTCTGTCCATTGCAGGATGAAGGCCTCTTCCACACGTTTCCAACTAATACAGTCCTGAGCTTTCTTTTGCCAATTGGGCCCACAATGCTTACTGATGTCATCGATCCATCTTGTTTTAGCGTCCATGAAAGAGACCTAAAACAAGATGGATTGATGATATCAGCAAGATCTGAAACAAAATGGATCAATGATATCAGCAACTGGCAAAGAAAGCTCAAGACCGTATAAAATATTGATATCCAAGTACATGTAAACAAAAAACCTCTACATGGATATAGTTACTTTTTCACATGACTGTATATGTACTTTTTTGAGGAATTAGGAAAAGGATATACAGCACAGAGAAAAACCTTAAAATTGCTAATTTTGTAAATAATGTTTATTGTGATTTCATCATTCTTTTGCTTGCTTTTCTATAAGCAGTATGAATCAGAATAGCCTAAATAACAGAAATGTCCATAGATAGCAACATTTTTTTAAAAAATGCACAAGCCCTAGGGAATTCTGCAGAAAAACTATCCACCTAACCTTTTTTCTGTTTCTGATCAGTGGTATCAGTCACAGAAAGCACTATATGGTCATTCATTTGGGGGGGGGGGCTACAGTGGCAAAGGCAGAAAGGCCTTTCTGAAAAAAAAAGTCCCATCCAACATTTTCTGGGCAAGTATTGTATCCTTCATACTCTGTTAAAACATTAGTCTTTCTTCTTTTGGAGAGAATGAACCAACAAACAGCAGGGAACCACACATACTATATATATGGGACCTGCATATTTTGGGAAACACTTTTTTCTTAATGCCCCTTCTACAATTTCCAACCTATGCTTGTTACTTGACCTTTTCCACATTTTCCCCATTTTAAAAAATATGCCATCTTAAAAAAGCCTAAATGTATCTGCTTTGCCATTGTCTCTGTTCACCCAAATGTTTCTTTTTTTATTATTATTATAAATTTTTAAAATTTTACAATAAAAACCCCTTCCCCAAAACCCTCCCCCATTCTTCCCAGAGCTGAATACAGGGTTAACTAGAACTTAAAAGAAAAAAAACTTTTAAACCCCCAAAAAACCTTAAACAAATATAATTACATTCAGTAAACTAATTATTAAATACTTTAACTGCATTATGTATAAAAAACAAAGAGAAAAAAAGAAAATTAAAAAAAAAATAAAAAAATATTAATAATAATAATAAAAAAACAAAAAAATCTTAAACTTTAAATATAAATTATTCACACCCAAATGTTTCTTGACACTATATGGAACAAGACACCTTCTGAGGACACTTGCAGTTTCCACAAATCATGCTCTGTGCTTCAGTTCTTGAAATGTTCATTTGGTATCAGCTAAAAAAAAACTCTTAAATCCATTGTGAAATTGTGCTAATACTGACAAAACAACCTGTAGACTTTGGATGTTAAAATATAAAATCTATAATTCATCCCTATTCTCAAAAATTCACTTCATTTGGTACTTTTGGTGATGTTAAAACAAATCATACTTCAATTATGTTACACTTCAGTCAATCATTCAGAAGTGTGAATATGTAGAGAGGTTCATTCCAACCATATGATTATAATAGGTGGGAGTAAGTTTAAGTGAAGCAGCTCTTGAATCATTAGAGCAGACAAAGGTTTCACTAGATAATTTCTTAGAAGACTCATTTGAAGCAACTGAATTCTCACACAGGCAGTGAAGCAGAGGAACAACCACAAACCTAGACTTTTTTGACAATATTTTATTTAGGTTTCTTTAGAATAAAAGTCCAGCAATTCAAGGGACAATAGTTTTTATCCTGTGGTCTGGCTTTTCTTTAAAAAATGATTATAATCACTCCAAATGTACTTCTGCCTTCTTAGCAATGCTTTTCCAGTTCATTATTGATTTTTTTCAAGTTCCCATGTAGATGTAGAACTTCTATCCTATAAATATTTTGGGGAATGGGGTGGGAATAGAAAGAGCAGAGAATTGCATTCTGTTTACTTTTTATTATTCAAAGCTGAATTTGGAAGTCTGTATAGAAATCTAAACATGCTCAGCCAGAAATTCAAAGCTTATTTTGGCCCTCAGTTCAGATGCAGGTTCAAATATGGAAAAAAAACTAGCTTCCCATATTACCTTTGCAGATCTAATCAGTGGAAATTAAATAGTGGTTATGAGAGCTATCATTCAATTATAAAAATAGAGCTAAAAAAATCAAATTATAATTAAAAATATTCAGGTTTGGGCAAACTTCAGACTTTTAATGTTTTTAACAAATGGCTTATTCGTTGGATCCCTTGTATTATTTTTATGACTGGTATTTTCTGTTTTGAGTGTAATATTTTACTGATAACATTTTAGACTTCACATAACTTTATTTCATCCTTTAAACTTCCCATAGCTTAACAAACAAATGATGGGCTATACTTTTCCCCAGAAACACTCTATCTGCTCTCATACCTACAAATTTTCAGCTTTCCTTGTGCTTTCAGCTTAACATTGCTCTAGCAAAACAACTCCCAATAATTGATATGCTAAATAGTTCCTAGAGTGCAATATCAATATTGATCATATATTTCACTGGAATAACTTTGAAATCAGTTATCTTTATTTCTGCCAAAGGTGACTTCCTCCTACAGTAAGTACTGTTTAATGCTCATCTTTTCCTGGCTTTCTCTTAGCAGGAATTGAATAACTATGTATATGATGTGACTGAATTAAACACTCCTTATTTTTCAGTAGCACTTATTCCTCTATTTAAAAAGCTAGCATGCAACTCCCATTGGTATTTAGATAAAGAAACCAAAAACTGCTTGAACAAGTACATTTGTGGAACCCTATGCACTTTATTTCTATGCAATTACAGGACTACGTAATTATTTAAAATTTCCCAATGACACTTCAAAACAATGTAGTCTCTTTAGTCTTAACCATGTTGTTCCCAGATAGAACATCTGCAAAAGCAGCTAACCCAGCATTACTGAGAAATGGCATTCTTCAATCAAACATAGGGATTCAGGTCAGACCTACTCTTAGATTTTTTTTTTAATATTACAGTATGTAGCAGAAAAAAGGACACTATCTGCTTTTAGTGTGAAGGAAAAGTACAGCTGGAGCCTTATTCCTAGGCTTGCCTACAGTCAGTAAAATAAAAATGGTCAGAGTTTGAACAATGCAGAGACAAACCTTTATGTTGATACCGTATATGGCCAAGTCTTGACGAAGGCGGTCACACGCTAGCAGAAGGGGCATTCTTTCCTGCAACCGCTGCCGTCTTTCCTCTTTCTGTTGCTGTTTTACTTCTAAGAGGTCAGCAATTTGGGCAGATGGACTTTCTTCAGTGTCAGGGGTAGCAAGAGCAAAGTTGCGCACTTTGATCCGGAAGCTCACTAGTTCATCTATTACACTGGAGAGCAAAGCTGAATGCTTGTGTTCAGGGAGAACCTATAAATCATAATCAAGTTTGTTTTTGTTAAAGACTGGTTTTCACTGTTATTGTACACCACTCTGGGTGCCTTTGGAGGAACACAATATAAAATGAAATTAATAGTAAAGTTAAAATCAAGACCAATAATATGTATGTGCCAATAAAAGTCAATTATAATTGCAATGATGCAATGAAAGAGTATTGAATCTCAAAGCATCTTCTCAATTTTAAATTAAGACCAATTTCAAACTTAATAAAATCCCAGCAAAGAAAACAGTCAGATGTAGTAAACAGTATAGAACTCACAGGTAAGCTCAAGTGAAGAAGTAATTACAAAACTGCGTTTTTCATTGTGGAATACAGATTCGTGGGAAACGTGCCAAGGTCCTATGCTAAAAATCTCTTTCCACTAGGAGCAGGAAAAACATGTTCCCTTTTTAAAAGTCTGCACCAGTTGCCCCTCCTCAAAAGGAGATTGGCCAGAGTGGCCACAGCATCTTATGTTTAAATGCATATAAATGATGGAAACCAAGTACACGTAGTCCACAACTTACAACCCCAATTGAGCCCCAAATTTCTGTTGCTAAGACAGTTAAGTGAATTTTGCCCCATTTTATGACCTTTCTTGCCACAGTTCTTAAGTGAACCACTGCAGTATTAAATTAGTAACATGGTTGTTAAGTGAATGTGCCATCCCCGTTGACTTCGCTTGTCAGAAGGTTGTAAAAGGGACACTGCAACTGTCATCAATAAGAGTCAGTTGCTAAGCATCTGAATTTTGATCATGTGTTCATGGAAATGCTGCAACGGTTCTAACTGAAAAATAGTCATAAGTCTCCTTTTTCAGTGCCGTTGTTAACTTTGAACGGTCACTAAACGAACTGTTGTAAATGGAGGACGACCTATAGAAATTTGTTTTCACACAGCCCATAAGCCCTGGCAAACAATTGGTTATATGCTTGAGAGGATGAGTATAATAATGGAACCTCTTAATGAATCCCCTTTTATAGCAGCCTCTTACCTGACTTTCAGCAAAGGTGACTCCAACCATGTTAAAAAATTCCATCACATAGGACACTATAGCTCCAAACACAATAGCACTTCTAGGGGACCTTGTTTCCTGATTTCAAAATAGTTACAAAGAAAGAGATGGAATAATTGAAACCATTCACTTTGATGACCAAGGCTTCAGCAAGAAGTAAATGAAGCATTTTCCAACCATTCTGGAAAGCAACTTTGCAGAAATTGCTTTATCTTAAAACCTTTCCTAAACTGTCTTTATCCAAGAATGGAAAATTGTTAATGATCGCAAGGTGAGCTACAATCATTAAGGGAGATGAGAAAACATGTGATGCATAAAAGCAATTCTCTTAAAATCATATTTAAAAATAACTATTGTGCAGGAAGTTACTAAAATATAACTGCAGAGCAAACAGTCAGAAACTAAGACTTGCAGAGTTGCTGGGCTTCTGCTATTTATAATTAAAGTTTTTGCCAATTTTTTTTCACTGTCAGAGAAAAGCTGTACAATTAGATTGTGGATTACACATTGGTCCATATTTTGCGAAATATTCTGTAATTCTGTACAGTAGCTTAATCCAAGTATCATGTTTGAGATTGGCATATTTAGCCTCAATTTTTACATCTACATACATCTTACAGCTTTTATGATTCCAAGCAGAAATCCAAAAGCATATAAACCATACTAGTTACTATTAAGTCTTAGAAACTGAGGAGAAAGAAGGAAAGAATAACGCTTCCATCTGCAAAACCACAGGGCATTCCAGACTTATCCACCTTCTACTTTCATTATTCTAAGTCTAACTTGGTATGAATTGAGAAACATTTGAAATTCTATCAAAATTAGGGAAGTGGAAATGGTGAGAAAAGCAGATACCATACTCACTTTCTTATACTGAGAGGGAGAAAATATACACGTACAGAAAAAAATATATCATGAAGCTTAAATAAGCTTGACACTTCAAGGGGTAGGTTGAGACTATGAACCAGGGATAAAAAGTTACAGATGAGGGGAGGGAGATAAGAAAAAAAAGAACTCTCCAAGAGGAAGTGTATGTGTGTGTTAGGCAAACAGTGGAATGGAAGTTAGGTAGACGAGAGTGACAGGATTCAACAGTCATATTAAAACAAACCATGATTCCAAATCAATGAAAACAATCCAATCAGTTTACAACAGGGTCCCCCAAAATAACAATCCCCAGGGATTGATAGGACTATCCCAAAGGGTAAATACTATGTATAGGTTATCTACAGTTAGATTAACACCCTAAGACTAATGGAAACTTAATAATTCAAGTTCTAACCAAGAAGCTAATAATTATTAGGGTAACATCTCAGACAGTTGTCAGCAGGGTTGTTTTTGTAAAATTGGGGTGTTTGGGTCTGATAAATTCAATATTTGCAGATATCAAGGAAATCGTTTAGGTATCCCCAGTGGGGCCCAATTATTATTGGTATAACTGTGGATTTCTTTTTCTATAAATGTTCGACTTTAATTTGCTAGTCCCAGTATTTTGTAATTTTTTCCAATTGTTTTTCCTCAATTGTAGCATCACCCAGAATAGCAACTTCAATGAATCAGATTTAGTTCAGTATTATATACTGAACAGATGAAGTTATGAAGCAGGATGCTTGTCCTATTAAATGTTAACCTCATTTTCCAAAACCTTCTCAACAAGCCCATATTTTTCATTTCCAAACATCTTAAATTGGATGATTTATCAATTTTCCCAGTGATTGCTGTTGCTTATTGCTTTATGTTTTTCAAAGCTGCTTCAATTTTTCTGGTGCTAAGCCAGCATTTTTATTTATGCTCCTATTACATTCTTCAATTTATGCTCTTTCATTTATGCTCTTTTTTAAATTACTTGCATCTGAGCTTAATTTCTTCCTCTGGGCCTCCAGTTTGATCTTCCACTTTCGGACTGAATATGATTTAGCTTTTGGTTTTAATAACCTGTTCTTCTGCAACCATCATTGCTGTAATTAAGGCAAGCTGTTTTGATAGTTATTTTAACCCTTGCAAATTTACATCCTGCATTGTAGGTGACAAGTCTTTGGGGAGCACTATTTTCAAAGCTGGCAGTTTTTGTCTTTCTACTGGTAATTCTGCATATCCCATAATTTTCTTTTTTTAATTCTTCGGGGGAGGGGATGTTATGTTCATAGGTTTTTTTCAGTTCTGCCCTGTGCTGACTGTTCTTACATCTTCTAAATTATAATTTCTGTAATTCATATCATTTTTTTTATATTTACAATTGTTATCTGAGGCTTTTCTACTATTCTTCTATTTGTTTTGGGGTCTTCTATTTTTACAATTTTTCTTAATCTCCTCCAGTTCTCCATCCTTGAATATTTTATTTCTGAAAATGAATCTCCTTTAGCTTTTTAATTGTTATTCAGTGATATTTTTTTTCGAGGTTCAAACATTCACTTTAAGTATCCCTGCTTTGTTAGTTCAACTTTATAATAGCAGGCCATATTGGTATGATTTTCAAACACAGTATTCTTTTGTCTCGTCTGTGGTTGCTATTCTTACTCCTACAGGGCCAGGCCCTGGTTGCCCAACCATAGCTCCCGAGTCCTGTTGTCCACTTGTTAGATACCCAGGAGCTCTAACACCTGATGGATGCACAAAGAACCCTCTGATAAACTAAAAGATAAAAAGGATAAGTATAAAAATGGAAAGAGGGGCACATAACTAAGACACAATATTAACATGTAAATCTGAGGTGACATGATACCAGTGTTCCAATATTTGAAGGGCTGCCACAAAAAAGAAGGGATCAATCTATTTCCCAAAGCACCTGAAGGCAGGCAAGAAGCAATGTATGGAAACTAATCAGGAAGAGATGCAATCTAGAACTAAGGAGAAATTTCCTGACATAAGAACAATAAATTAGTGGAATGACTTGCACTCAGAAGTTGTGGGTGCTCCATCACTGGAGCCTTTAAAAAGAGACTAGATAATCACTTGTCTGGAATGGTATAGGATTTCTTGCTTGAGCAGGGAGTTGGTCTAGAAGACCTCCAAGGTCCCTTTCAACTCTCTTATTGTTAAATTCTGATGTAATCCTTGTTGACCTGGATAACAACCAATTCAGCATAGGATTCTTCTGGTTTATCACCAAATTAAATAGGCTGAAGGATTCATTAGTCTGGCTCTTCTGTTAAGACCTGTCTAGTATGAGTTACTCTCCAGTAGAATACCACCAGCATAACCCCTCAACTTTATTAATATTATTCATAGTATGATTAGCTAAAGTATTTCTTAAATTATGTTCGTATAATAAATGTTTGGGTGTTGATGAACAATCAAACTTCATGAAGAAATCAATGAGCAGAAAAATTTGGGAATCCCTAGTTTACAAAGCTGTACAACAAATGCAGGGGAAGCTTAAAGAAAGCCTTCACAATCAACCACCATTTGACGAGGGGAGGAGATAGGAAAGGCCTCTTCAGAATAGCAAATTAAAAAAATCCAGTGAGTAACAAAGCTGCTACAAATCCAGTAATAACCAAAATAAAATTTGAGCAGCTTAAAGCATAACAAATTCAATTTTGACTTTCTGCAAATGCAGTACAGATAAAGCCTGTTATAAGAATGAAATATGTTGCTAAAAAATACTCTGATTTCAGTCAGTTTAGAGTTATAGACAATTGTCGTTTTCTGATCTTTGTATCCTAATGGGTTACCTTAGTGACGGTTTTAAGCTGTCTGTTGCCATAGTGAATGAGGTCCAAAATTGCACGAATAGCCCTGGGAGTGTCGAAGTCATCTGCACATGCTGCTGCTACCGTTGTCTTAGTAAGAGCTAGTCTTGAAGAAAAATGGAGAATGTAAGACACAAGAAACAAAAGTTTTGTCTCATTGATATAAGCCAGTCAGCAAATAAAAATACTTCAATTCAGACAGACGTCAAACTGAAAAACTGCTTTAAATGGAAACCACAGGCATTTTCTACAATTATCCCTGACATGTTCTAAGCATGTGTGTGTAATGTGTGTGTCTATGTTAAAATATATGAAATGCATGCTAAGAATGCTAAAAGTTGCTGTTAAGCAATACACCAATTCACTGATAGTATCCTAGTTAAAAAAAGTAAAGAATTGCTTGTTTTGTTTAAAACAAGCTATTTCTTCAGTCATATTTTAGGTTTAGATAAAATACCTTTGGAATTGTTAACATACGGTTAAGAACTTGCCACTTGTAGTCACTGAGATGCCCAAGCCACCACTAGATGGCTCTTCATTTAAAAAAAATGAAGTGGTTGAAATCATGCAAGGTGGCTGAATTGCTTAAGTTCATGCTTTTATGTGAGATTTACTAAAATTTGATATTAATTTATTTTTAATATAAATTGCAAAAAATGCAGAAAGGTCAGCCTTCAGAAGAGATGCTACCCTCATGCATACATGAAAATGAACTAAAAATAGACTCCATTACTTTTCCATTTGCAGTCTATGGCACCTGACAAGTAGACAACCAACTCATATTAAATTGTCATCCTTATATATTAGTTTTATATGCAGAAGTTAATTACAAGAGATTATCTTAAAATCATGCTTGTTGCTTGAAGCAGTTTCTGTTTAGATTGCTACCATGTTGTTCTTCTCCATAAGGACAATCACAAATGCAAATTATAAAGGAGAATAGACAGCACTTACTTCTCCCAAAGTTCCTCTTCCCTAATGGCATCACAGTCAAACTGTCCTTTCATGTAGGCATTGGCAGTGCTTATAAAAGAATGTATTATGTGAAGAATATTCTTTGCATCATTCATGGTATCATTACTATATTCCACTCCTAGGAAAATTAATTTATATGGAATAATATAAACAGTTCGGCAATATTAGAAAATAGAAGAGCATACTTTAAAACTGAACAAAACCAATACTGTGTTTTCCCTGTCCTTTCCATGTCCAAAATTTCTCACTGGAGGATTTCTTGTATATATCGAAAATTATCAAAGGATATGAGAAGAATATCTTATTCTATCAAAGAATTTAGATTTTTTGTTGTTGTATATATCCCCTGTTAATTCCATTTTTGGAAGGATTTGTTTTACTGAACAGGGGTCCCCAACCCCCAGTTCGGGGACCGGCAGTGGTCCGCGGCATGCCAACAACCAGTCTCTGCAAACAAGCAAAGCTCCATCTGCAGGATGCAGGTACCACGCAATACCACGCCCCCTCCGGTCTGCGGAAAAAAACCTCTCTCCACGGAACCGGTCTATGGTGCCGAAAAGATTGGGGACCTCTGCTATAGAACACTAAAACTAAACTCAAAAAAAAAAAAAAAAATAGCAGCATCATTAACAATATTTGGGACAATAAACAGACATAAAATGCCTGGAAGAAATACAATACATAATTAAGATATCAAAACAAATAATATTCTATCATTAGATTTCTATCTTTGGGAATTGTTCAAGATACATAATAAGAGGGCAAAATAGTACAGGTAATCTCTGAGTTACGAGTGTTCCCTTAGCGAACATTTGTAGTTATGTGATAAGTGCCCCCTAGTGTTTACGAAAAACTCCCAAAATTACGAATGTTGCTGCACCATGGCAGTTGTTCATCCTTATGAACGACCACAGGGGCACTGCAACATTCACCCTGGCTATTCCCTCCCTACCCCCCCCCCCGGGTCTCCCTAGGCACTAGGCCTATAGATACACACCTTGCGAAGATTGAGAGATCCTTTGCTTTCTTGACTGTTTCCTTCAGTGCGTTTGCAGAGAATGGAGGCCTAAAGTAACGCAAGATCACGCAAGATCAGTGGCACAAGATCTCATGCTACTGATCTCACATCATCTCATGGTAGTTTACGCCTCTGTTCTCTATTAACAGGACGGAAGCCAGGGAAAATGGACCTCCAGACGCATGCAAAAGCCTCCCCCAGCCTCCGTTCTGGGCCTAGGAGGCTTGGAGGAGGCCTCTGAGGCCCAGAAAAGACACCCAGAAGCACGTGGCCAATGCCCACAGCCTCCATTCTGGGCCTTGGAGGCCAGGAAGAGGCCTCCGAGGCCCAGAACGGGTCTTTGGAGCCCTGCTGAAGTGTCCCCCGGCATCATTTCTGGGAGGCAGCAGCTCAGAAGAGGTCTCTGACGCCTGGATTGGGCTATCAGAGCCCAGCTGAAGCATCTCTCAGTGTCATTTCTGTGTGGCAGCAGCCCGGAAAAGGCCTCTGATGCCTGTATCAGGCCTTCGGAGTCCCACTGAAGCATCCCCCAGTGTCCTTTAGGGCAGCAGCGGCCCAGAAAAGGCCTCCGACACCTGGATCAGGCCTTCGGAGCCACCCTGAAGCATCCCCCGGCATTATTGCCGGGCAGCAGCAGCCAGACAAAGCCTTCGACACCCAGATCGGGTCTTCAGAGCCCCACTAAAGCATCCCCGGCATCATTTCCGGGCAGCGGCAGCCCAGAAAAGGCCTCCAACATCCGGATCAGGCCTTCGGAGCCCTGCTGAAGGGTGTCCTGTCATTTCCGGGTGGCAGTGGCCTGGAAAAGGACTCTGATACCCAGAAATATACCAGGGGCGTTTCAGTGGGGCTCTGAAGGTCAGATACGGGCATCAGAGGTCTTTTCTAGGCTGTTGCCACCCGGAAATGATGCTGGGGGACACTTCAGCAGAGTTCTAAAGGTGTGTTCTGGGCCTCGGAGGCCTCCATGAGGCCTCCGAGGCCCAGAACTGAGGCCATGGGTGACGGCCAAGTGCTTCCGGAGGTCTGTTCTGGGCCTCGGAGGCCTTCTCCATGCCTCCGAGGCGCAGAATGAAGGCCAGGGAGGAGGCCATATGCTTCCAGAGGTCCATTCTAGGCCTTGGAGGCCCCCCTCTGCTCTTGCCGGGAGCACAGAAAGAAACAGAGAAGTTGGAGAGGAGACAGATCTTCACAAGGTAAGTGATCTGGCGCAGCCTGATTGGGTGGGGAAGCTATTGGGACCCCAGGGAGGGAGTATGAGGTATCTCAGGGGAGGGGCTTGGGTGGTCTGAAACAGATGTCCTGTTCCATCACCAGGCCCCCCATGGCCTTCCCCATCGTGAGATACCTCATATTCACTTAATGAGCCACACATTTACCCATATATTAAATTAGCAAATGTATGGGCGAAAGCTGGGAGTGAATCACGTTCAAAGTACGAGATTCACTCTTACAAATCCTCGAGTTACGAATGGAATGGGCAGGCTCTATTACATTTGTAACTCGAAGACTACCTGTAATAAAAGAATTAACAGTGCAGATATTGCAAATTATTGTTCTGGACACTTATTAGAAGCAGACAGATTGCTCTAAGCAGCACTGAAACAAAAAAGATATTTTTTAAAATGTCCCTTCCTTGTTTCTTCATCTATTTTACTTTCACCCAATTTCCATAAAGAAATGGAAACAAGCTGTAAAATAAAATGGATTTTCTGGTCCACCTCACATTCCAAGGTAAGTTCAAAAAAAGAAAAGAAAAAAAAAAAGAACTGTAATGCTACTAAGTCCAATTTCAAAGATGTAGGTGTTTCACAGAATTTAATAGCTTTTACTAAACTATATATTTATTGCTTGGGCACAAAACAGAGAATGAATGCATGCAGGTATCTTTATTATTATCCATTAATGGGTTTGACTGGATTAACAGGATTATCCAACAATTAATGATTTTTGAAGGAATTTCTTCAGTCTATTACTTTTTTTATAACTGTACCAGACCTGTTTAAAGAGAATGAACTGTTTCAAACCAGAAAGTTCTGGATATATTAGCTTTCAGTAGGAAGTCACTGGGACAATCTGGAACTAATAATCATCTTGTTCTAAAACAAATTTAAAGCTATTCACTTGTGTAGGCAATATTACTTTTGAAAAATAGGAAGAGAATCCCACATTTTCTTCTTTTGTGTCGGTGTTTTGAAATGTCCTCTTACAAAATCTGATTTGCTGAAGCTGGGGAGGAGGGAGGGTGTCACAAAGCAGCAACTGAAAAATTATTTGCCCTATCAAGTAAAATGTACTATTTCTAATGCCATGGATTGAATCAAAGAACCATATTGCTAATGAACATGTGATTGAGAAATAAAGGTACTGCCAGCTCCCCAAGTAGACCAGGCCAGGAAATTAAGTCCACAGGAAAATTAAAACTATACTTTATTGAGACTGGCTATAAAAACAGAATTTTGCAAGTCTGATTGTGCTCAACCTCCATCTCCTTCTTGTAACCCAGTGAATTAGGGAGGTATTTCTCTGAGCTACTTCCAAATGTTATTTTCGTACTCTAGACGTGAAAATGTTTTATCCCCTTTTGCCTAGGTAACAGTTCCTTAGTATTTCCAACAACCTCATCTACAGGTACTGATTTGCTTATCATTATGATGTTATAATAAAAGAATGATATAAGACTGACTTTGGGGAAACCAAGGTATGTGACATGAGGTTGACTGACCGGAAGCATTAGGCAGCATTACTGTCATACCCAGAAAGATGGCTTGTCTGAGTGGCAGAAGCTGGTTGTGTATGGCTAGTGAATGGATAGGAGAAAGGGCGGGAGACTAAATGCACAATCATCAATAAAGCAGAGACTGAGGAAGCAAGCAAGAGAAAAAGGCTGAGTGAATGCATAGGTAGACAGAGTACATATAACAGTGGGGAGGGGACATCTTTTTCATATACAAATGGATTTTTGTGCTGACTCTGGATCAAAGGAGGAGGAATAATGCTTCAGGGCCACCATAGTTAAACAATGTTTTGACAGATTTTACAAAGCCCCCATATATAAATTCTTGGAAAACTTCACTTCGTTCTCATTCAACTCAGACTTGGCATGATTTGTTTGTTATGTCTTCATTTTATATCAAAGCACACGGATGAGGGGATATGTTTGATATGCATTTCAAATACACAATCAGATTTTTTATGTGTCTTTCCATGTGCATCTATTGCAAATAAAAGCAGCCATATCACTGATGTTCCATTTCAGATTTTAGTAAACAGCCAATCAATGTGATACTGTGATAAAAGAATCCTTTTATCTATTAGATTTATGTCTTGCTTTCCTCAAAGTCAGCAATCCCAGCCCTTCTGACTGGGCAGACTGCTGGAGGCAGCAGTGGGGGAGGGGAGGGATGGTTTCAGCGCAGCCATGCGCACCACTTTCACAAACGCAACTTCGCATGCACCCACCACTTCCATAGCCCAGTTCCAAATGGGCAGCAGCCTGCCACCAGCCGGTGGGCCAAGATTTGGGGACCCCTGCTCTAAGTGATATAAATTGAATGTATTCCTGAAATTTCCCCCACAACAACCCTATGATATGCAGATCTTTTCAAGGTATTGAAAATGTATTTTATGAAACATCTAAATATATTGAAATCTCCAATGAAATAAAATGGGCCATATTTTGGACTATAAATAGAACATGGATTTAAACCACAACTTCATCAAAGTTGCATCAGTCCTGCATCAGTCACAATCTGATTTCACTATGAAAATAAAGCATAGAGCCTTTTTCTTCAGTTGCTAGCTGGAAAAAGGATATATTTTAAAGTTTAGCTGAAATTAAGAACGAAACAAAATGATCTTCAAATTTAAAGCTGTCCCCTGAAAACATTTTAAAAGTAGTCATTTCAGAGGTATGCACATAAAGTAAGCATCTAATTGCAACTTCATCAACAATATACATCTTGTAATCATTTTTAGTCCAAGAAATTTTCTTACCTGAGCTGTATTTGGTCCGCAAACAAAACATTCTAAACTGATCAGATGAAAATTCTTTTAGAAAATCCTAAGGAAACAAAAAAAAAAAAAGAGGAAAGATTCTCTTTCTTGATTTTGCTAACAGTGTTAGATTATGAAGAATTTGGCAAGGCACGGATGATGGGCCCCATTTCAGAATTCAAATGCTTTCCATCACATCCCAAACTCTAGATTAAAATATAACACATTATCAACTTCATGTTCATGCAAGAATGCCAATATTTGCTTTTACATCTAATGATTATTCAGGGTTTGAACTGGAACAAATCTGTCCAGACCAGTTAGCAAATCTGATATTTTCTCAAAAATCACTGCAGCCCTAAACATGAGGCAGAGATAAGACCAGTAAAGAAGAAAAAGGGAAGCTTTAAAATGCACTTGCTCTCTCAGTGCACATACATGATGGCAAAAACAGAGGAAGAGACAAATACAAGCACACTCAGAGCTAGGCACACACTGCAAGAAAGAGTGTGTGTTATCCCACCCTGTATATAATGTATACACACACTATGTTTCTAACCCCAGGAAAGGTTTCTTGGATTCAGCTGGAAGACTTGCCTTATGCGACTCTCCTCTTTTTAAAGTTGTTCTTCCATTTCTACAGCCTACAATCAGCTTATGCCCCAAATCATGACATCTGGCAGAATCTGACAAAGCATTTGGGGCTTTTGCTGAAAACAAAGCATAGCTCTACTTCTTATGGATGCAGAGATGTAGAAATGCAAGACAGCAAAAGCCCATCATGACTCTGTCCTGGGTGACTGGCAATGCCCACTTGCCTTTTCAGAAACATTAATATTTTAGAAATGTAAAATATATTAAAACTAAAATTGTACAGAAACTCAGCAAGTTCAGGATAAAGCAAACTGAAAATATATACCATATTGGCGCATGGTAACTAATTTCAGTCTATTATAGTCCAACGTGAAAGAGATTCAGTTTCCTCTGTGAAAAAGGCCAGCACAGTTTAGTGACAAGTGACCAGCCCTATTTTATATATTGTGTCTGGTAGGATCACTCAGAGTGTCAAACAGGGACAGAGCTTATTCTTTGATAAGAAGAACAAGAAATGGATAATAATGAAAGTAAGAGATATACAAGCGCAATTCAGAAATAAACCTTCGTTTGGTTATCAATGACAGACACTCAGAGATACAGAATTTTTATTATACACATTAGAAAACTACAACATTACATTACTTTTCAACATAATCGTCATTCAAATTGAGGCACTTGTCATAACGTCTTACAAGGTTTGAAATTCCTTAGTAGTAGCCACTCGGCGCCAAATCTGGACTATGGGGGGGGGGTGATCAAAAACATCCCAATGGAACTGCTTCAAAAGTTCTTGAGTGCGTCTAGCAGTGCGGGCGAGGATTATCGTGAGCCAACACCACACTGGAAGTGGTGCCATAGAAAATCCCAAATGTGAAGATGCCAAACAAATACTGCTAGTGAAGTTCATGGATCGTGGTTCGACCATCAATTCAAAAGTCTATTGTGAAACATTACGAAAACTCAGATGAGCCATCCATAACAAGAGTCGGTGCATGACTTCCAGTGTAGTGTTAGTTCACGATGCTTGCCCGTACACCGATAGATGCACCCAAGAACTTTTAAAGCAGTTCTGTTGGGATGTTTTTGATCACACACACACACACACACACCCCATAGCTCAGATTTGGCGTTGAGGGACTACTAAGGAATTTCAAATCTTGTAAGACGTTATGACAAGTGCCTCAATTTGAATGGCGATTATGTCGAAGAGTAATGTAATGTTGTAGTTTTCTAATGTGTATAATAAAAATTCTGTATCTGCGAGTATCTGTCATTGATAACCAAACAAAGGTTTATTTCTGAATTGCCCTCATAGAAGGCATAAAACTGCTGGCAAGAGAGTTGTGGACACTGGCATACTCTTATATCTTGAATTTGCAAGAAAGGGGACATGTAGTCAGAGCAAACAGAGCAATTCTCTTTTTTTAAAACATACAATTTAACCCTTTTCCCCAGGGGCCTCAGAGAGTAAATTCTGCATAATAATGCATAGGACTGTACTGTTCATTTTTAGGGGTTCCGCCCAACTTCAAAGAGTAAAAACTGGAAGCTCCTATTACTCTATCTGCCTCTATATACATTTGTCTTAGATACCCACCAAATTTGTTCAAGAAAAGATCCCAATGCTTCTGTTTTCAAATTCACACTAGCCTCCACAAGCCATTCCCATCACACTAGCTTCCATAAGCCATTCCCTTCTACACAGTCCAAATCCTTGCAGGTACAGTTTTGCCCAGAAAAATATTATTAAGAAATAGCTAGATAACATGAGTTTACAGTACCTTAATTGTAATGTAGTTTTTTAGTGATTTTGACATTTTTTTACTCCCTCTAATATGCAGATGTCCTGGAATGAAAAAGCAAGTTGCTGCTTTGTTTTAAAAACAAAAAGTGCTCCAGAATTAGGAAAGACAAAAGAAAATTATTTTTCTTAATAGGAAACAGGAAAACAAAAAAATGAGACTATTTCAACACTCATATTTAAATATTATCCATTATTTTTATGTACCAATAAATAGTAAGAAGAATTCTAAACCTCACACAAATAAAAATAGATTTTTGGTAACTGACTTAGGGATCTGCCTTATGATAAAATTTAAGTAATTAAATATTGCCAAATAGAGAGATAATAAAACTTCTCATTTTCTATCAATTCATTAATTACAGGATATATTTTATGGCAAAAAAATACTCAAGATAACATTTTTGTATATCATTTGTATATCATTTTTGTATATCATTTTTCTACTTTTAGAAAAAATAATGCACTTCCTGAGATAGAAACCAACTTAAATTTCTTATAGTTCAAGAATTTATAGCTGTCTCAATATTTCTGGATTCTAGAAGTGATAATATATAGTATAGTATATTTTATCCATCAGTACATTTCATAAATATTGCAAGAAAAGCTAGAAGATATTATTATTACGTTTACTTTAATTCTATATTCTGTTATACAACACCGACCATTTATTTTCTCAAAGTGATAATTATAGTCAATTATTAATTCACACCAAGTTAAAGAAACTTTGTAGACACTTTAAAAACCAATTAATGAATATAGCAACTTTCATCCTGGTAATGTTTATTTATTTTCATCCCAGTCTTTATTATTTTTATTAATAACTCAGGGTGGCGAACATACATTAAAAGATACGTATTAGTTAGATTCAAGACATTAAATATTTAAAAATTACTATATCAATTTAAACCAACATTCAATCTGTTTCTTTTGCAAAATACTGAATCTTTCACCGATTGTAACACTAAAAAGTCTGCTGTTTCCTAAAACAGAAGTCCCCAACCTTTTGGGGACCAGGGACCAGCTTCATGGAGAAAGGTTTTTCCGTGGGCCAGAGAGTGCATGGTTTTGTGGGCTGCCTGCATCCCACAGATGGGGCTTTGCTTGTTTGGGTGGACCGGTTGCTGGCATGCTGCAGCCCGGTACCGATCCATGGACTGGGGGTTGGGGATCCCTGTCCTAAAACACTACAAGAACAGTAAAAAAAATGTGTAAGAAATATGTGCTGAAAAACTCAGAACATTTTAAAAGAGTTGGGGAAAATTGGTCGTTCGAGATTTAATGTCTATTAAATATATGTCACTTGTGTGGTGATGCCATTTAGTGATCAAATTACATCAATTGTCAAAGACATTTGGACTGTTGCAAAAGTATTACATTCAAAATTTCAAATTAAACAAATATTTAAAAGAATTACCCTTAGTATGTGTATTCTCAAATGTAGGTATCTTCTTTTTTGAAAGATAACAAGTCTTCCTCTACAAATCTGGGTATGCAACGATTTGGGGGCTACAGGTACATTTAATATTTTTGAAAATATTATAATGGAAACTCTCACAAAATGGCTGCCATAGCTGGGAATTCTATTCATAAAATAGCTATCAGAATCAGAGTCACAGAGTTGGAAGATACCTTGTAGGTCATCTAGTCCAACCCCCCACCCAAGAAGCTATATAGCCTATCGCACATAGCCATCTCCCTCAAGGACAAAGGAATGAGATTGTTTATCCCTACTCCCCAAGGTGTTTCCTATTATTCAATTTTACCTTTGTATTTTTCCCCTCCCAAGTGCAAAGTGCAAGTACCATTTTTATTTTCTCAGACTCAGGCAGCCTGAAGATACAGTTTATCATTTAATGGTAAGAAACTATATTTCTGGAATACAAAAACACAATGAAAATATTCACAGATATATTACCATTTTTTCCAGAAATAAGTCCTTCCTTCCTTCCTTTCCCTCTGCTCAGAATTCAGAATATGTCTTGTAGTATTTCTATGTAAATATTTCCAAGAATATAATGGCTTGAATCTCAATATTATTTATTTATCAAATTTAGGCACCATCCATCTCATTTTCTAAAATCCATCGTCAGAATGTAACTTTTCCATCAACTCAGCAATTCCAAGGAATTTTACAGTCCCTCTTGAGTAAAGTGCCAGCAGTGCAAGGATATAGTAGTAAGGTCTAAAACTGGGCAAAAGTTTAACAAAATTCCATTCTAGCAAAGTGCTACTACTATGTTTTTAGTAGCTCTCTGTCCTTACATGATGTTTTTTTAAAAATAATTTCCAAATGGCAAGAGTCTTGAAGGATATTCAGAGAGAAAGGGGACAACAAAGTCAACTTTTATGAATTTCCATTAGTTCTAGAAATCAGGATCCAAGTAAACTTTTGTCTTAAATTTTCATGTTTAACCATCCAAATGGATGGATGAGCTCTGCACTGTTTATCCTTGGAAAGGTCAGCCAGAGATACTCCAAGCAGTTAAAGTGATTCATGCTATAAAACCTGCCTAAACCTATATACCTTATTTCACGGATATCAAACTCGTCACGTCATGTATCACGACTCTTTTTGCATTGCCGGCAATGGGGTGGGCGCGGCTTCGGTATGATGAAATCGGCCTGTGGGCCGGCAGTTTGACACCCCTGCCTTATATGGTAGAGCAGCACAAGGTATAATCAACCTCAATAGTTTCAACATGGAATCATCTTGTAGGCCATGAAATAAGCTCACTTTATGATAGTTTCTATATATATTGATTCACTGTCTTTCATAGTCATGTAATTTCATGAATCCTAATATTTAAATAAAAGGAATAAAAAAATTTAAAAGTTTATTTAAACTTGAACTTACCAGAATGTAGAAAATAATTTCCCCATTGTTCACACTGATGATAAGCCTCGCATTGAGCAATTTCATTTTCATGATGAGGAAATGCAAGATCTATACCACCAGTATGGATATCCAAATGTCCCCCAAACACTAGACTATTAAAATAATAATAGGTTAAAATAAATGAACAATGACAAGATTTAAGGAAATGTTAATAAATTAATACAAAATTAATATCCAAACTATGGTTTCAAATCAATAAAAAATTGGGAGACAATCTGGGAATTTATTCTTCACACATTTCAAGGGAATTTCTTTAAGCCATTTGCTTGGATGTTGCAATATTTCCAAACTGTGGTAGATCTGATTTTCTATATCTTTGCATGTAATTCAAACATGCCACTGGATAATTACATGTAGCCTTGCTCTTAGCATCCAAATTGTCAAAAGAAAATGCTAGATTACCTCTAAAGGCCCAGATTGTGCTAAAATGTATGATACAGTAAAGAAATATGTGACCCACATCAATATTATTTTACATTAACATCCTAAACCTTTCAGACTTTAATATAGATTTAATTATATTGAATATTAATGGATTGTATCTTACTTATACATTAAACTGAATTGGAACTATTTTCTCTCTATCCATTACCTCACATTAATTTAATTGAGTAGTTCCTGGAAAAGCTATACTTTCTGATGTCTTCTTTACATTGTGGAGGGAAAATAACACATTGGTCCTGGTCCTTATAAACATAATTGCTGCAAGGGACTTTTCTAGACAAAAGGAGACATAGAGCTATTTGCAAAATGTACAATTCTGCCTTGTAAGCTGTCTTATTTGAGGCATTTCCTTTCACCAGGCCCAAGGAAATTGACCTGGAGATGATCCAACAAATTTCTAAAATGCCTTCCCCCACCACTTTCAACAAATTTGATAGGCTCAATACAAAGACATAAGGGGTATAATACACAAATTCAATTCTTTACTGAAACTCTACTCAACATTCACCCATAGAAAATTCTGTCAACGCCTTCCCATTCTTTTATTGCAATCTCCAGATCTACAAGCCTGGCTTCAACACAAGAGACATATGCCACAATCAATCAATCAACATTCAGGATGACAATGCTGTGGACCATAGCAGTTAGTTTAGATTTCAAGCTGCAAAGGAGACAAAAAGCTGTTGGCATTAGTTAGCCATCGTGCCATTCAGATGAATCTGTTTCCAAGTGTGCACTTAGAACAGTCCCAAACTGCAATTCCTATTATGTTTTTAGCAAATAGAAACATGTTTGTGGTTTTAATAGTTATTAATATTGTTTTATGTTATTTTATTATTGATATTGTTTTCATTCCTGATTAGGAACCACCTAGAGTTTGATATAAAATGAGCAGCTGTATGTTTTAATTAAGTAAATAAAATAAATAACTGACACCCCACACCGGCCCTGTAGGGTTTCTGCCAGCATTGCTTACTATGTTCTTGAACAGAAGCAAGATTAGGAAATGAAAAAGAGCTGACCTTGATATTGTAGAGCATTCAATGTGCCAGCCAGGTCTTCCTTTCCCCCAGGGGGAATCCCAACATATCTCGTGAGGTCTGGCTGCCTTCCAGAGAGCAAAATCCTTCTTGTGACACTTATCACTAAGGCCTGCCAATAACAAGTAGTAATGACATGATTAAAGAGAACCCCCCCCCCTCCGGAATTCAATGTTTCAAAGAAATCCATCGGAACAGGACTTATAGTGTGGATGTCATGGGCCTCATTTAGCTGAATGACCAGAACAAATCCCAAATAATCAAGGTAATCATTGATTTACAACCATTCATTTAGTGTTCAAAGTGACAATGGCACTGAAAAAAAAAAAAGACGACCAGTTATCGTACTTATGATTCACAGCATCCTCATGGTCACGTGTTTGAAATTCAGGCATTTTGACTGGCATATATTTACGACGGTTGCAGCATCCCAGAGTCACGTGATTGTCATTTGTGACCTTTCCAGCCAGCTTCCAACAAGCAAAGTCAATGGAGGAAGCCATTGACTTTGCTTGACATGGTTCACTTAACTGCAGTGAATCACTTAACAACAGAAACTTTGGTCCCAATTGTGTTCATAAGCTGACAACTACCTGTACACAATTTAAAAAGTCTGGATCAGCATGTACACCTATTTATTGTCTGTGCAGTGCTTTACTGCCAACTGATGTGTTAAACTTTCTATTCAGTTTAGCTAGAGCTAAGCATGAGTACCTAGCATTGTGCATTGGAATGAAGCTCATGTATAAGAGATCAGGATTAAATGCATAGACACACCCTTAATCTTTCCTGAGAGTCTTCCAATTTCCCACTTAAATTGCTGGGATAAGTCCTCTTTAATGCTGAAAATATCAAGTTATAGTAAATGTAAAAGAATAGATATTGATCCAGCAGTGGCTAACTAAAAGTATTATACCAGGGGTGCTTAACCACCATGCCGCAGCCCACTACCAGGCTGCAGCCTGTTCGGAACCGGAAGTGGTGGATGACCATATGCGCCGGTGTGTCTGCTGCTCACACAGAACTATCCCGTCTCCCCCTCCCCCTGCCGGTCTGCCAAGCCTGAAAGGTTGGGGACCGCTGTATTATATATCTGGACATACAAAAGAAACCAACCGATGTCTTAACAATTTAAAGGGATGTATAAATACCAAACTCAAGAGAGTCACCTGGATAATTTTCCTATATTGGATTTGCAAAAAAAGGCTTGTTAAAAGCTTTGAACAGAGAAGGGACAAAGCTTTGTGAGAAGGGACAAAGAAAAAATGAAAATAAATCTTTAGAACACTATATGAAAGGGCCAAGATTTTTAAAAGTAACTCTTAATACACTTTAATGAGGTTTTAAGGATTTGTTTATAGTTAAGAGATGGGAGTGGGAAGAAGCAATCACTTGTTGTATTTTAAGAGAACGTGATAAATTACTAAAATTGTTTATACAGGTATTCCTCGACTTACAATAGTTCATTTAGTGACCATTCAAAGTTACAATGGCATTGAAAAAAGTGACTTACAAAGGCTTTTCGGTTATGGCATTTGCAGCATCCCTATGATCGTGTGATCAAAATTTAGATGCTTGGTTCATGTTTATGACCACTGCAGCATCCCGGGGTCATGTGATCACCTTTTGTGACCTTCTGACAAGCAAAGTCAATGGGGAAATCAGATTCACTTAACAACCAGGTTAACAACTTATCAATTGCAGTGATTCACTTAACAACTGTGGCAAGAAAGGTCGCAAAATGGGGCAAAACTCATGTAACAAATGACTCAACAGAAATTTTGCACTCAATTGTGGTCATAAGTTGAGGACTACCAGTACTTGTGATAAAAGGAGAAATCATGCCTTTTATATTTTTCTTTTCCTTTATATTTGTTTTCTTTCCCTATTTTTTCCTTGTATTTTTTCTGCACCTTCTATTGTTTCTTTTTATTCTTTTAATTTTTTTTAGTTTATATTAGTTTTTTATCACTGTAGTTGTAATTTTTAATAAAATTACTGTTTTAAAAAAGGAAAGTATCATACCTCAGTAAAGACTGTCTGAGAATCTGCCTATCCCATGCATGCTTCCAAGGAAAAGGTCCTTGGTCTCTGGTCTCTCAGAGAAATCAAGAGGACATTGACCAAAAAACCACCTTTTTCTATGATGGGCTCAATACTGAGGAACATTTTGCCTCCAGAAGGTTGACTACTACCTTTTTTAGGTCTTGTACAGCTGGCAAGACAAATTTGAACAGTTCTGGAGAAGGTAACTTGATATGGATTGTCTAATTCCTGATAATAATATAATATAATATAATATAATATAATATAATATAATATAATATAATATAATATAATATAATATAATATAATATGATATGATATGATATGATATATGATATGATACGATACGATACAATATATGATATGATATGATATACGATATATATAATATCATATCATATCATTCTATATCATATAATAAATATAATATAATATAATATAATATAATATAATATAATATAATATAATATAATATAATATAATATATAATATAATATAATATAATATAATATATAATAATGAAGCTGGACCATAATTTTTATCTTGTTTCCAGTTTGGGTCTACTCATTTTATTTATATAATTTATTATCAAAATTCTTATTGAATCCAAAGAGTTCAAAGAAATATAAATTAATTTCATTACACAAACTATGTGAAACATAGTCTGCCCTCAGCCATGCATTTGCCAAGATAACTATAAAGTTAACTTGTTATGGAAGTAGTTCTACAACTGGTCAAGGCTATAGTTCTAGGAAAGAATGCAGGAAATACTTCCTATTTTTATAGTATTGCTATATTGCTGTTCCTGCTTTATACTGGGCTGGTTAATGTTAAGAATATTTTATGGCATATGCAAACTCTCTAGAATCTTAGTGAAGAAATATGTGTAGTAAGTAAATAAATAAACTTGTACAAAGGTCAGTAACCTTCAATAACATACCAAATTCCTCCTGGGCCTCAGGATAAATATTTGTTAGTTTTCCATATCTGTCTCCCCTAGAACGGACATCAAAATAAACATTACCTGTCGGAAATAAACAATTTGATCTTATTATAAAGATGGGAAATATGTAGTATTCTACTCGAGGGAATCATCAATCAATGCCTCTACTTTTATGCAACAATTCAGGCTAGCCCATATTATACACAAGATGCAAAGGAATGGTCCTGGGTATGCTGTTCCCTAGAGATGATGCCAGGTAGCCTATGCTGCTCACATTTCAGTACTAAGGCAGGAGAAATTTCATAGCAGGCCCAAGAGACAAAAATACATTAATGGACAAAACACACTTGAGACAAAGATCGTGCCAAGGATGCAGATTTCTCAGTCTCCATAATCAGTGAAGGTGAGCATATTCTACAAGCAAAAAATTGGAATCAGTTACTGTTTGTTCAATGATCATTCTGGTGTTAGGTCAATTTGTTTCTTAAAAATGGTTTACCTATGTTTCTACACCCAATTATTTCCAAAGTCCCTTGCCAGTAATATAATAAGCTCGTAGCCAAAAGAAAGAAGGAAAGAGGAAAAAAATGTACAATGTGATAGAGAAGCCAGTGGAAAGGCTGCAGGGGTCTTGTGGATAAGCCCTAACTCAGCAATGTAGCCTGTTAACCTACACTGCCTCTTTTGATAAGGTCTTTCAACAAGCCATGTGTCACAATCTCATCAATAAAAAAGGCAGCATTAATGCACAAATGTAACAGTCTTACCAACACTCATCTCATCTATACAGGTGGATCAAGAATGGCCCAGCCAATTCCAAAGCAATGTACTAACTGAACTGAAAACACATCACAGGATTACCATAAGATTGGGAAGTCTTACCTTGTGAAGTTGCATAACCATATCCATTAGTAACAAGTTGCTGTATAAAAGAAATTATCTGAGGAACATTTTCAGTTACTCTCATATAAATTGTGGGAGGAAGGACCTATGTAAAAACAGAGAATTATATATTAAGGACATGATTAATTGCTGATTAAAGTGATACAAAAGCAAAGGAATGTCTCTCTAAAGGAGTATATCAATTAGGTAGGAACTGAATATCTTAAATTATGGCAACTGGACCAAAGTTTATTAAAACTGAGACATTTCGTTACTCATCCAAGTAACTTCAGTCAAAATGAAATTTTGGGTAGGCAGATAGTCATTGGAAAGAACCAACTCTTGCCATACAGACTCAGTTTTAATAAACTTTGGTCCATTTGCCATGATTTAACCTTTTAAGATACAATCTCAAGTTCATGACTCTGGGCATCTAACAATAATTAAAACAGCATAAAAACATAAAAATGAAGACACAACAATACACATGTAATCTGTAACTGGGGAAAAAATCAAACCCAACAATAACAAATCAATCTAAATGTTGCAAAGGCTCAATCACACTCCAGATTCCCAGGCCTAGGATGGTCTGAGCAGAGTTTGGACTAGATCTTCTCTTCCAACCCTATGGTTCAATGATTTTCACCTCATTTTCCCTCCACTGTTTCTGCTCTTCTTTCATCTCACCTTCTTTTTATCCTTCCAACTTTTATATCTATTCACCTGCTTAGCCCCCTTTCCTTTGTCTGTTTCCCGGCATTGCTCCCTCTCTTTCAGTCTTTCTCCCTTTTCACTAACTTAAATGTTCCTTTCTTTGTATCAGCAGACATTGTCTTTCTTTTTAAGTCTACCTACTTTTCCTGCTTGTCCTCCACTTCTTCTGCATCCCACATCCATGTTTCTTCCACTTACTTTGTTTTTTTCTTTTGTCGGTATGATCCTCAGAACCAAATCTAAGCCACAGCCTATCTACTGTTGCATCCAGAATTTTTTTCTTAAAGGTTTTAAAGTGTTGTTACAAAGCTAAACAAAGAGGGTGCAACAACTACTATTACAACTAGGGCACCCCTTGAGCCAAAGGGAGTTGTCACCATTGTCCTAGCAGCTCTGCAACAAAACAAGTTTTACATTCAACATTAAAGCATATTAATTAAATATTTGTACCTTTAAGGCAGCCATATCTTGTTTAAAGTCCTCCTCATAACAACGAGCAAGGGTTTCCGGGGAGATTTCCATCTATAAGAAAACAGCAAGTGATTAAGTCATGTATCAAGGATAAGAGCTAACAGAGATTATGAAATCAAGATATAACCAAGAGGTCTCACCAACTGTTCTTCTAATGAATTAACATGTTAAAAGGTTTAAGAAACACTGGCCCAAAGAATCTCCAAGATCCATTCCAACAGGACTTTTATGATTTAATAATTACTAATTTTATACATCTATCTATATAATATTAATACTCTGATTCCTGTAACCTTTTATTGGGTGAAATGGTGCATCAAAGGGCAAAACTTTTTCAACCAAGATAGCTCAAACGCACTAACTTACAGAAAGCATCCAAAATCCGGGACCCATGACACCCACGGAATTGAAATTTGACAAATTTTATAAAACATTTTATGACATAAAAATAACCATAAAGTACTTTATAACATAATCCAACATGTCATAAACATAAAATTTCCTATGTCTGACTATGCTGTACATTTCAACGTGGGCTACTTTCAAAGGCAGAATTTTGCCATTATATTAGAAACTCTGCCATTGTTGAAGGCATCCAATAAAGAAATATCACTGAAACAATGAGCCAACAAGTCATGAGTTGTCCAGTAATACATAATTTTGAAATATATACAAGTAGGCTTTGATTTATGACCATTTATTCAGCAAGTAATAATAATAATAATAATAATAATAATAATAATAATAATAATAATAATAATAATAATAATAATAAAAAATTGGAAGGGACCTTGGAGGTCATCGAGTCCAACCCCCTGCTCAGGCAGGAAATCCTATACCATTTTGGACAAATGGCTATCCAGTCTCTTCTTAAAAACTTCCAGTGTTGGAGCATTCACCACTTCTGGAGGTAGGTTGTTCCACTAGTTAATTGTTCTGTCAGGAAGTTTCTCTTTAGTTCTAGGTTGCTTCTCTTCTTAATCAGTTTCCATCCGTTGCTTCTTGTCCTGCCTTCAGGCACCTTGGAGAATAGCTTGACTCCCTCTTCTTTGTGGCAGCCCCTCAAATATTGGAACACTGCTGTCATGTGCCCCCTCGTCCTTCTCTTCGTTAAACTAGACATACCCAATTCCAGCAACCATTCCTTATATGTTTTAGCCTCCAGTCCCCTAATCATCTCTGTTGCTTTTCTCTGTACTCTTTCTAGAGTCTCAGCATCTTTTTTACATTGTGGTGACCAAAACTGGTTGCAGTATTCCAAGTGTGGCCTTACCAAGGCATTGTAAAGTGGTATTAATATTTCACGTGGTCTTGATTCTATTCCTCTGTTAATGCAGCCCAGCACTGTGTTGGCCTTTTTGGCAGCTGCAGCACACTGCTGGCTCATATTTAAGTGATTATCCACTAGGACTCCGAGATCCCTCTCACAATTGCTACTATTGAGCAATGTACCCCCTATACTATATCTGTATATTTGGTTTTTCTTGCCTAAATGTAGAATCTTATTTTTTTCACCATTGAATTTCATTTTGTTAGATAGCGCCCAGTGTTTAAGTCTGTCCAGGTCTTCCTGTATCCTAAGCCTGTCTTATGGAGTGTTGGCTATTCCTGCCAGCTTGGTGTTGTCTGCAAATTTGATGAGTTCCCCATCTACTCCCTCGTCCAGATCATTGATGAAGATGTTGAAGACCACTGGGCCTAGAACAGAGCCCTGGGGCACCTCACTACACACTTCCCCCCATGTAGATGCGGTTCCATTGAGGACCACACGCTGAGTACGGCCAGTCAGTCAGCTACGAATCCATCTGGTGGTGATGCTGTCTAACCCACATTTTTCTATCTTATTGAATAGTAGGTTGTGATCTACTTTATCAAATGCCTTACTGAAGTCCAAGTAAATTATATCCACAGCATTCCTCTGATCCACTAATTTTGTCACCTGGCCAAAGAATGCAATAAGGTTTGTCTGGCATGATCTGTTTTTGACAAACTCATGTTGGCTTTTAGTAGTGATTTTGTTTGCCTCTAGGTGTTCGCTGATTCGTTGTTTATTTTTTCCAGAATCTTCCCAGGTATTGAGGTCAGGCTGATAGGTCTGTAATTTTCTGGATCCATTTTTTTTCCTTTTTTGAAGATGGGAACTACATCAGCTCTTTTCCAGTCCCCTGGTAGTTCCCCTGTGCTCCAGGATCTTTGAAAAATATAGTTCAGTGGTTCTGAGATCACATCTGCCAGTTCCTTGAGAACCTTGGGGTGTAATCCATCTGGTCCTGGTGATTTGAACTCGTCTAGGCTGGACAGGCACTGGTCCTTGGAGTTCTGCTCATCACAGGGTCCCCTGGTCATGTAATCATTATTTCTGGCATTCCCTACTAGCTTCCTATGAGGAAAATCAAGAACTTGTGATGACTGAGATCCTAGCTTAATGACCTGCAAAGTCCTCATTTAACAATAGCAACTAGGATTGAAAGAATTATCGTTGCTATATAATGCAGTAATTTCACGTCATGCTTTACGATTGCATCACTTAGCAACAGAGTTCCTGGTCCCAATTATTCTTGTAACCAAACATAATTAAAGTAATAATATGAAGTGATTAAAAATGTGCTGATCTAAAAATAAGACAGAAAAAAATATTCCCCTGACATTAAGCTTTGACCTCCTCATTCTGCAATTGTTGTAGGGGCTGCACATTTACTTGAAAGGATTCTCCAAATCATTTGATGGAGCAACCATAGCAATGGAAGCTAGGAGAAGGTCATTTCAAATAAGGATTTTCACTTCAAGCAAGCCTGATTGCTCACCATGATCATTATGAAGGCTTTCCACTCCTTATATAATTCTGGTTGACTGGGCTTTCTTTCTAAAGTGTTCCTAAAGCAATGGAACCTTTGTCAGAGAGCTTTCCCCTGATTTGACTTGTTATTGCCATATTTAATTCTCTTACTACGTTTGTACTATAGTGTATTTGTTTCTATTTGGGGTTTGTTTTATGTTGTGTTTTTGAGTAGTTTTTGATTGCAACGGCCTACCAATATGTTCAATAAATAAACAAATAAATTTCAAGGGTTTTAACTATTTTCAGCTTATTTAAAATCAATTCAAACAGATCAATTGTATTTTACTATCTAACTTGGATATGATGCAAATAGCACAATACAAGAGCACAGAACAGATTTTATATACCAAGCAATAAAACATATATAAAGAAATACATGATATAAAATAGATATACATTCTAAAAACATGTATAAAGTAGGCTGATGTATATGCTTACCTCATGTGCTCTTTTAATTATTTTATCATCTATATCTGTAATCCCCATCACCATCACTACTTCCTTTCCAAATATCTTTGTTATTACTCTTCGAATTATGTCAAATTTTACGTAAGAACTGAAATACAGGGAGAAAAATCATGAATGTGTTAGGGCAGTGACAAATTTTATAAATTCTGATCATCATTTTCAGCTCTGAATATATCCAAAATATATTAGAACAACAGAATCTTATGCTACATTAGAAGATTTACTATGATATAAAATGTAGTTTTTGTGCAATAGGAAAGCTTCAGGATTCTGAGATCTATCCTGCTTTTTTAATTAGGCATCAAATATGCAGCAAACACATACAGTATGTCTCAGATGGATGCTTAAAATCACCTACAGTTGAAATTAAATAATTCTAAAGCCAGAAAATGAGCAAAATTTATAGCTACTTGACACAAAAATATTATCCTATGTTGTCTTAATTTCAGCAGAATGAAGATTTCACCCGGTGGGTAAGGAAGGGAGAAGACATTTTATTATTCTGCAGTTAACAATTGGGAATCAGGTCAATCAACAGCAAATCCTACAGATATTTATAAAATGCCACAGAAAGTTTTTTTTTTATCCCTCCAGAACTTTACCTGATGCTTGAACCGTGCTACAAAATACAAGAGACAGGTGGCATTTCTATACAACCTTCAACTATTTTTAACTATAGCTATTGATGAACATAATGTTACAACCATGGCTTTTCTATTTTTTTTCTTTTTAAAGCAATCTTAACCTATACATTCTGAAATAAGCTCCACCACTAACATACAGTAACGAGGATGGTAAACTTTCTTTAATATGCACTGTTAGACAAGTGTCTTGTTTTGATTAAGCCCTAAATAAACAGGCCTACGTTGCTGATAAATAAGTTGTTTAGTAATTTTATAGTCTTCCTTCATGTTCCATTTCTATTGAAACAAGGTAATAACTTCTACTTAGAAAATACAGATAATCCTCATTTAGTGAAAATTCGAACCAGCAAGTTGGTCATTAAGTAAGGTGAAAATGCAACTGCGTTTAAGATCTTATTTCAGCTTACCTTTATTTTACGGATGAACAAAGGTAATAAATGTGAAGATTTATTTATTAGATTACTATTATGGCTCACACACAGTAACTAGGATTAACAATAAAGTTACTTTTTCATTGGCTTTATAATTGCAGTCACTAAATGTGTGTATTCAATGCTGATAACATAATTTTATATGTCTAATAAAATATATAACTAAAATCATTACATTCATATTACTACCAATTAGATAAATTGGCATTATTTAGCTCCCTAAAATTATATATTTTATAGTATAACCTCCTGATACATACAGTCATTATTATACACTTAATAATGACTGTATGTATGTGGTATTTTCAAGGAATCCTGGCTTAATCTGATTGCTAATAGGTTTAATGTGGCATACCATCTTATGCTCCAAATCACACTTTCCCCTCTAAATCTGGATCCCTACACAGTCCTCTTAGATATTTCAGTGAGTTTACTTTGGTGATCTGGAAATGTCGCATGATAATAAATAGGTCAAAAATGTATCATACTGTAAGGAGGTGAATTTCAGGTTGTATTCAAAGTTGCACTTTGCAGTTAGATATCAAAAATGTTCAAAACAGATTTACTCTACTTCTGAAAGGAGAAAAGTGTAGAAGCTAACCTGACCTCAGTGGGATAAGTTGTTCCAAAATGAGGAGCTGCAACTCTCTGGTTACCAACTCTCTAATTTATCTTAGGAAGGGCACCTATAGCATCATTTCCTAGCTGGACAATATAAACAGGACTAGCAGATTCTACTTAAGGAAGACATTCAAAAAACTATTCTGTATTTGACTATGTCCTTGCTTTAACCACTTTACCCATAGCTGAAAAATAGGAATACTACAAGTAATAAAATGTTTCACCTAATCTTTCAATCGAGTAAGGCAACCACCACATAATATATATTGAAAAATTCTTTTCTCCAAGTCAGATGCAGAGGTGACCATGGAGACAGGGGTGAGTGGGTGTTAGAAAAGACAAGATGCCATCACAACAAACATAAAAAGGGGCAGGGCTTTGATCATGTGTCATCAACACCATTCTGCAGACTTCCCTGGTCAGATAGATTGACCATCTGTCATGCTATATCTAATCTTCATCCATTTAATGTCTTTGGCAATTCTCTATGTATTTTCTTGAGATTAGTGAACCTAATGAGACTTTCATTATGTATAAATACAATATCAGAGTTAACTCAGCTAACTCTTGCTTTTTGTTGAAAGAGCTAATCAATGCTAATTTATCTAATAAAATAATCATTTATGGGGAAAACAAGGACAAGATAAAAATGTAATAAATAATAAACGAACGACAACATTATCACACAAAGACTGCAATTTGAACAGATGTTACAAAAGAAGGTTGTAATGGCATTTGCATGCACCACACAAATGTCAGCATTTTACTATTGAACACAATTTGCTATGGATGCTGCTGCTAATTATAGTCTGTATCTAGAGAAGTCTGTGAAGTATAAATGTAAACAAAAATGATTAAAACTCACCAAGCATGCCCAAGATGTGCATGATCATATACAGTAGGCCCACAACTGTACCTGCGAATAAAATTAAAGTGACAAAAATCAGAGATACAAGTGGAAAAGTCATATCAGTGAACAGTTTTTAAAAGTTCAACATCAGCCACAATGACTGACCATGGGTGATGAAATTATCTGGTTCTGGTAACATACTAGGGAGACTTCATCAAGAAATATATTTTGAGAGTCATATCTTATTATCCACATTAAACTTGCTCAAAATTTACCATCTTAATTAGGTCCAAACTGAACAATGGCAAATTTCAAAAAAAGGGTATAAGGCAGAACAAATGACTAAATCACATCTAGATTGGGAGCTTGCTTTTTAAGCCCAGGAGGTCCACAAATCATCATCTTTGATATGCAAACAATAAGGAACTTCCAGAAAGCCTCAAAAGAGTTTGGATTTTATTTTTACCCATTTCTTTGCCTAAAGCAGCCTTGCATAACATTAAGTCTTCCAACTAATTCATAATCAAGGTAGGTAAAAAGAATAATTATGCATGGTGCACATCACTACAACATCAATTAGATAGCACTACCTAGTCAATCTTGGATGACAAAGTAGATGATGAGTAACAGGTCCCTAGATAAAGGCAATGACAAACATGTTTCTCTGCAAGTAAATTATATTAACATGTCTGTAAAGTGATCAGGAATTGAACCTTTACTTTTAGACCACAAATCTGTCAGCACATTACTTAATGCTACCTTTACGTTTTCTGCTTTTCTGTTTCTGCTTTAAATATTTAATAACTGAGCAAAGCTCCAGAAGATTTCTAGATGGCAATAGATTTGGACATTCCAATTCTTTTCTGCCACCTAATTGCTGTCCCTAATTTCACTGGTCAGATATGGTACCCTATTCTAACAGAAGCTGGCATATGAATTTCTTCATCTGTAACTACTCCTTGGCCTCTGCTAATATTACAGGTCTTGATTCACCTGTCTTCTATCTGCTTGAGCATTATCTGACAGGGTTTTTTCTTATTTGGAAGGTAGATGCTGTATGCCGTTTCATTGCAAGATCAAGTTCAGGAGGCCACTGAGGCCTTGGGACAGATGAGTTTCCAAATTCCATAAACCAAAACTTTGCCATTTTAGAGCCTAGGCTACAATCCCCAATAAGAGCCCTTTTCTATTCAACTAACTTATTTTTATTTTTTTAGAAAAGAGGGATAAAAATAAAATGTTCTCTCTGTTTTTTTAATTGACTAATCCAATTCTGTACTATGTACTGCTTTCCCTTCCCATTGAGAAAGGCCTATAATTTTACAAGCCCCATGTCAAGGAAAGCTTCCAAAGGAATGGCTCCTCCCTCCGCCCCCCAGCATTTACTACTGTACATCTCCATCAGCAACAAAATAGGTTTATTTCATTGCTTCTATAAGCGCAGCAATCCTGCCCAAGGTGTGGGAAGGGAGGTTTGAAAATTTATCAGTAGCCCAGGCCAGGATAGATTTGACAATTTTCTAATTATTCTACCAAGTCACCACGTTGGCATTTCTCAGGATAAGGGGCTCTTTGCTTCTGCTCAAGCTGTTATAGATCTGGATCCCGGTGTCTTCGCCGGTGGGCTTGATCCACTTCGTCCTGACTTCCAGGGTACCCGCAGTGCACCTTCTCCTGCGGGAGCCCTCACTCAGCGGATGGCGCTTCCTTGGAGTGCCAGGCGGAGCCCTGCTGGCCACCGAAGTTAACCCTCCATAACGACGCACGTCCAGCCGTTGCAAAGGTGAAGTGGTGGCGTTCAGGCAGCTGCCGCCAGTCCGGGCTAGCAAAGGAGCGCAAAACATGCTTCCGTCGTGGCGAAGAGGCCGCCGTGGCGTTTCAGCAGCGCCTTCTCTTCTACTGCTTGCGCCGAAGCCAATCCAGAGACACGCAGCACACACAACTGCGAGATCCCGCCGCGTTCCTCCTCTCTCCTCCTCCCAGCAAGAGGGAGGGGCTCTCTCGGCGCCGCAGCTCACCAGCAGAAGGAAGCGACGCACAGCCCACTCCGGCGGTAGGAACAGTCGGTTGTTCGCCGCTGAGGAGAGCGGTAGCTACAGGCGGAGTCCAGCAGGAAAAGGAGGAGCTTTCGTGGTTCTTTGCCTGCGTTAATAGGGAAGAGGCGGAGAAAGCGAGGAAGCATTCAACAACAGCGAAACGATATTTTTCACAGATTACAGGAGTCTCCCTTCCAGACTTGCCGGTGACCTTGAAAGTTGCGTAGCGTCCCGTATTAACTCGCGAAAAGCCCCCCGCGGAGACTGAAAGTAAAGCTGGTGCACCTTTTCCAGGGAAGGCATCTGATTAAGCGCATGGGGCATACCTCCAAGTAAACCTGAATTGCAAGGGGAGGGGGCAACACTGCACGTCTATATGTGCAAGCGGTAAGTGGCTGTAGTGACCACAGACGTACCGTATTCGCCCTTTTAAAATCTTTCTGAAATATAATGCAAATCTCTACAGCTTTACTCGGAAATAACACTCGCTGATAAATTCCCTGGTTGGAGTCTTGATAGGGGAAAACCCGGGTTCAATCCCTATTCAGTCTGGGCTTACTGGATGACTTTGGGCCGGTGTGGCTTTAAGTTCTACTCAGCTTTTACGAGGATGAAAGTCATTGTTGAATCCATGTCTGCCACTGTGAGCTTCTTAGAGAAACATGAGGAATATGAGAAAAAGGGTTTGAACAGCAGCTTAAGAGTGGGTTTATAACAAACCTCAGGAGCCCAGATGACATCACTGATTTTAACAATGCTATGTCATGCATATTAGACTTTGTAGAATCTATATTTTCATTTGTTAAAAAAATATGTTTGATTTCTGAGATGTTAGTTGCATTGTCTGAGAACTTTTTCTTAAGAAGCAGACATGTCTCTTAATTTTATTACTGGTTTATAAGATGTTCAAAAAGCAAATGTGAAAGTGATCTTTCATTAAATTTAATGGACATATTACATTTTTATCAAAAGAACGTTTCCCAAGCAATTGACATTGTTCCAGTAGACACTATACCATGACATTTATATTTATACACATGCACACCCCACTTTGTGAAGCTTTGCTTGATGTAATTCAGAATGAATCCCAATATACATGGTCATAAGTACCATTAAAGTCACTGAGTTACTGAAACATACACTGGAAGCGTGCTTTAATTTTATTTATATGCTCTCATTTTATTTTGACACAATTTATGCATCCATAGACATGAAATAAAAATACTACTAAAAAGAAAAATATATATTTTATTGCAATCATCTATATCCCAGAATTCTCCCAAAACATGTAAGCAAATAATTAAAAATAACGAAAACTACTAAAAAGCTTGAACATTCTGCCCCTTGAGCCTGGAGACAAATAATAGCTGTGGTTTGTAGCAAATCCTGCATCTTTAATCCTAGATCATATGTATAAATGCATGCACCTATGCATCTACAAACTAAAACAAAGTACTAAACAGACATGTCTCATACTAATATTGACTGAGTGTAGCTTATAAAATATGTTAAGACTATTAGTGCAAAACATCTTATACATTTATTTCTGATTAAATAAATGGAGCTGAATGGAGATACCAGTTTGCATGTCTGCATTTCTTCTTTGAAACTAAACTTGTCTAACTCTACAGATTGGCCAGAAAACAGTTTCCCAAGTTGAAAGAAGTCTTATTCAATATAATAGTTATGGAGCTTTGTCTTGAAGCCACACAAATATTGGAGTTAATTGGTCCACACAAAAATAAGTTCCTATAAAACCCTAAGCACCATTAAGACTTTCAAGAAGATTCATGATTTTTCAGAAGTTTTTACACAAAGTTTTTACACAAATGTGTAGGTACTTAGCTATTATTGCTATTTCTAGGAAACACAAATAGAAGAAACAAATTTTACAACAGAATCCACTGAAGACAAATGCTGTTTATTGTTTATAAAAACTACTCCCTTTCTGCTAACATGTATGATTGTGGCTTAAGCAGCATAGTGTAATTTTGTCTAATTGAGAAATGAACTTTCTTTGAGGGCAAATCCATTCCTTCTCTTCTGAGACTCACTATGAAACAAAAGGAAGCTTCTGTTTTAAAAAAGAACTAGTTATATCCCCTCTTCCTTTTTTCTAGTTATCTGTTAAAAAAAAAATCTGTGCGCTGTTTTCCCCCATCCACCAGTTTAGAAAGAATAAAATGCCTTGTGCTTATTCATTTTGTCTGCAGGTTTTGCACACCAATTGATCACAGCTGCTTTTTTTGGCATCTCATTTTTTTTTAACTATGAGCCGAGGTGGCGCAGCAGTTAGAGTGCAGTACTGCAGGCCACTTTAGCTGACTGTGTTCAGCAGGTCAGCGGTTCAAATCTCACCGGCTCAAGGTTGACTCAGCCTTCCATCCTTCCAGGGTAGGTAAAATGAGGACCCAGATTGTTGGAGGCAATGTAAATATATACATTGCTTACTGGTGTACACCGCTTAGAGAGTGCTTGCACTTAAAGCGGTATATAAGTCTCATAAATAAATAAATAAATAAACTATCAAATGGACTAGGTTTATCAACCAAATGATTGACAATTGCTTCTGTGAATTTATGTAAAGGAAAGGTCCAATCATGTCCTACTCTAGGGGGTGGTGCTCATCTCCATTTCTTAGCAGATGGAGCCAGTATTGTCAGAAGATGCTTTCATGGTCATGTGGCCTGCCTGACTATATGCCAAAGGCCCACGGAATGCTGTTATCTTCCCACCAAAGTGTTATCTATTTATCTACTTAGCTTGCATGCTTTCGAACTGCTAGGTACCCATACTGTAATCACCACAAGGATATCACATCAATCTGGTGTGCAGATTGTCTGCAGCAGGCAAAAAAAAAAATTCATTCATTTAGCATTTATTTATATCCTGCCTTTATTATTTTTACAAATAATTCAAGGCAGTGAACATATCCTTCCTATTTTCCCCATAATAACAACCCTGTGAACTGAGCTGGGCTGAGGGAAAGTGATTAGCCCAAGGTCACTTGTGATGGGTCCCTTGATATTTTTAAGAAATAGTATTTTTATTTCCTGTGGTGTTGGTTTTACAATCTCTATTCAAGAGAAGCAGCTGATGCACCTCTCTCTTTTACATAGACTGTTTTCTCTATTGACTGAAAGGTAGCTGTTCCAGGGAAGATCACCTGCACCAAACAGGATACTATTTTATACCTGTAGTGAGAATGTAAAACAAATATTTTGTCACTATCTACACTACAGTTTAGATCTGGAAATCAAGAGACTGTGAGTTCTAGTCTTGCCTTAGGCATGAAAGCCAGCTGGGTGACTTTGAGCCAGTTGTTCTCCCTCAGCTCCAACCCACCTAACAGGGTTGTTGTAGAAGAGGAACCACCTTGAGATACGTATAAAGTAATCAAGTCAGCTTAAAATATAATCTGTTCAAATCCATATTGTGCAATTTCTATTATAACTATTCAAAATCTTACATTTTTAAATCTATATGTCAAAAAGTAAAAGTTTGCCACAACACACCTGTTTGCTTTTAAACCCAGAAAGTTAAATTATAAGATGTAATCAGTGAATATCATGGTTGTAAAAACAGCTCAATAGCCCTTCAAAATTCACTGGACAAATATGATCTGAAAATTTAAGAATGACTCTTCACTACCCTGCCAGTCATCAAGGCATCCCTTTTCTTCCACCTTCTGTCAGTTTTACACCCTCAACTATTTTCAGGCAGTTGTTCTTTATGCAGGCATCTGGCAATTACACCTGTTACTAAATAAATATATTTAAGTTGCCATTGCAGTTAACTATTGGCTTTAAGCTCAATTTCCTGATATTTCCTCCCTTTGTTCAATTTTTTTTCTTTCCATCAACCTAAATCTACTTTCCAAACAGCAGGACTACCTAGGGACAATTATCTGAACATGGATTCGAGCTTAGGGGGGGTACTGCAGTTGGCTAAATTCAAATAAGTACCAAGCGATCCTTTCTCATCAGGGCAGAGGAAAGCAATCAGCTTGTTCCACTTAGATCCTCTTGTTTTCTGCAGCTGAATGTGCTTTGATTTTCAGATTAGGCAACCTTAAAAGTACGGGGGCTACCCCACCCCGCAGTCCAGTAGCCATTATCCGGGCGCATGCGGCACCACTAAAAAAGAAGAGGTTATAGGGAAATGTAGTCTATTTTTTTGCATTTTTCGCCCTCCATTTTATTCACAAGTCATCAATTTGCGCATGCACCGATTTTTACTTGCCTCATCTTTTCCGGCTCTGCAATCCGCAACCTGTGACTGGATTAGAAGGCAAAGGGGTGGGAAACAGCCTGACAGTTGATTGGGCAATCCTGTTGTCAGTGTTGGATTATAACGATAGAGGCAGTAGCTAACTTCAAGCAGGGAAGGAGACGGTCTCCTTTTAACTCGGGAAACTCCTGTAAACTGGAGAACCGAAACAGTGCAGAGGGGAGGCAGAAGGGAGCCAACAGCTGCATCCCTTCCTCTCTGGCCACTATGCGGCTTGCTGCCGAGGCTGAGAAAGACCGTAGTCCTTTGCCGCAAGTTCTCCAAGTTTATGCCCGAGGCGCGACAAACGGAAAAGCACCATCCTAACTCTTATCAGCTCTGCCCGTTCTCCGGTCCGGGGTGCTGAGCAATCCAAAGGGTCTGGCGGAGGAGTTCAAAAGCCAGCCGCTGAATGAAACGCCGCCCACCAACTTCAGACGTCTCTTTTTCGTTTTGCCTTTAGTCAACACAGCCCGAGTTCCCGCTCCAGCAGACGCAGCGCAGAGCCCTTTTTTTAGGGAAAAAGAAAGAATAAGCAGTATTGCGTTTGCGACAACCCCCCCCCCCCGAGACATGACTACGTCAGAAAGCTGTATTTGGCTGGGCATGCACAAAACCCCATTCCCGTGTAGCTCCCCCGCCCCCGCGGTCTCACTTCCTTCTCGGGAGGAGGGAGAGGCCAGCACAACTGTAGAGAAAGCGGCGCATTGAGTGTCCTCGCTGCTGCTGCTCTTTCGGGGAGGGGGGTTTGCAATGGGAGTGCTGCGCACGCGCATTAGCTGGCGGGGTTGAATGTTTCCCAAGTGTTTGAAACTGGTATTTGGGTTTTCCACGTTGGATCAAGTGCGGCGTACAGAGCAAGCTGCATTAAGATCACCGGCAGCTCAGGAGAAGCGACATGCACTGGGAAACACTGCTTCTGCCTTCTGCGAGACATTTTTACCGCGCGGATCTTACTTGTCTGCCGAGGGAGATCTGTGTATTTTTCTAGACCTTCTCCCTTTCCACCCTCCCCTCTCTTGTCCACACACTCACACGGAGACGCACACACATCCCTCTGATTGTTCCTACCACCTCCTTGGTGAGTTACCGACAACGACAGCCATTCAATCAGCTGCTACTGCTGCTGGAGAGACTCGCGGACTGTGTGCCTGCCTGCCTGTTCAGGGAAGAAAAGATTCAGATGTAGCTTTTCTGGTGTTTTTTTCGGTTTGATCCGAGGAACCGGAGAGAGACACTGAGGCGGCGGAAGACCGAGTCTCTGCCATTGGGGCTGCCGTGCTGGAAAGGAAAACTCTCGCCCATTGGGGTGAGAGGACGAGATACACACACACAAATATACCCACAATTTTCGGCCGGATGAAAATGTTGAATCCTGCCAACGGAGAGCAGCTTCATTTAGCGAACTATGTGGAGGATTACTTGGACTCGATCGAATCCCTGCCTTTTGATCTGCAGAGAAATGTCTCCCTGATGAGGGAAATTGACGCCAAATACCAAGGTAAGAGCTTTCTCCTTTATGTGTTGGTGGACGAGAGTCTGTAGAAGCCACCTCGGCTTGCCTTGTTTGTAGAGATGGTCTCTTGGGTCTCTTCCCAGCGCCCCCCGAGCCTGAAGCAGAGGGTGGCTTTTATTATCGGGATTATTTATTAGTGAGAAGAGAAGCGGAAAGCAAGGAGAGTGGAGAAGGGGGATTGCTCTGCAGGGATACCCAGTTCTTTTTTCCCTCTCGGGGCGGAACAAAAGGTCTTCCTTTCGGTCCTCCGCTCTGAAGCAAGGACTTGGCTTTTTAGGTGTAAAAATGCTGGACAAAAAGGCGGCGGCACCGAAGCGGGGCAGAGGAGGGGCAGAGAAATCCGGACGCATGGGGCACGGAGGCAGCTGTTTCTCTTTCCCCGGCGAAGAGGGACTGCTTTTGGGGACGGTGGGACAGCGGCGAGGAAGAAGAGGAGGGAGAGTGATTACGGCACCACATTGAGGAATTTCTAGTATTCGCAATGGCTGTAGTAGGAGAGGGTGCTAGTAAGAGGGAGAGGGCGGGCGGGTAGATTAGCTGGAGTGTGCGAGGGGTGGGCCGGGCTTGTAGCCTTCGTTCCCTCTTCTTTTTTTCAATGGGGTTTGCTTTCAAAACGGGCTGCTCTCGCCCAAATTCTGCTGGGAGAGGGAGCGGAAAGTGATGGGAACCGATTATATAAATCCCGTGTGGGCTGGGGATGTGCGGAGGGCCTCCCCCCTTCCCAAACTCCTGCCGCGTTTTGAAGCTCTTACAGAGGGAGGCTGGATCCTTCCCTCCCTCTAGCACTCTGCAACCCGGGAAATGGTGGTTGGAGTTAAAGAGCTGGAGAAGTCTTTTGTCACCGGGTGCTGTGAGAGGTAAAAGGGGTGGAGAGCGGTGAAAAGAGTGCGACGGCTGCTGGTGGAGGTGACACCGGAGTGCCCCTGGCACGTTCAAATTCCCTTTTTCCGTCGGTGGAGAACTGGAGGAGATGGGAACCGGCTGGGGTTTGCGGCGCTTAGGGAGGAATAGGATGGGAACAACAAGTATTTGTTTTGTGGTGAAGACTTATAATATGCCGTCCGTAAGACGCGCCAAAAAGCAGGCGAGAGAGAGTGTAAGAAAGGCGAGAGAAAAGGGGAAGAGACAAGCGTCAACTTGCGTGTATGAACGGCAGTTTGAGCAGGGGTAATACGGAAGAGAGGAGGGTTGAAGGACAAGGGCGGGCATTTCAACCCGCGGTGAGCACTCGATTGCGCTAAAGGGAGACGCCTCTGCGCTTGAGCTCTAAAAGAAGAGAGTGAAAAGCGCCGTCACAGAGCTTTTATAGCTCCTCGTCATTCCCCGATTGTGCTCACCACGCCTCCTCTGCCATTATTGGTGGAACTTCCCTTAGGAAGCCGCTTTGGCCCCGCCCTGTTGCTCAATGATTAGTATCCCCTGAATTCTGTACCGATCTTCGCTTCGTAGTGACGCTGACAGGACCGAAGGGGCGGAGGGGTGGGGAAGCGGCAGGGCGGAGGTTTCTTCTAATAGTTCGAACTGCCCCGGCTGCTCCTCTGCGATTGATTGGCTTGCTAGTTGAAGGAAGAGTTGAAGGCGTGCGGTGACTAATGGGTTGATGTGGAAGATGAAGGTGGTCGTCGGCCCGCCCTCGGGACCTGATTGGAACATTGACATTCAAGGAGGTGGAGGTTGGTTTGGGGCTTTCCCTCCTGATTGGTGGGAATACTTTTTAGCTAGAGAGTGGGCTATTGGTGTGATTCCTTATTCTAATTGGACGGTTTCGACCCAGGCGGGCTGTGGTGGGAGATGCCAGAGCTTGATTGGCCAGCTGGACGGTTCCTGCTCTTCGCGTACGTTCTATTAAAGACAGACGTAAAGAGAAAAACAGACATACACGCACTCACGCCTACCGCCACTTCCCTTCTAAGAACAATGGTCCTCGAAATCGCATCCTGTGGGAGGGATGGGGAGGGAGTGGCTTCGTTGCCTCAGAAGGAGATGGGGGGGAGGCAAGGGAGGCGCTTCTGATTGGCAGAAAATAAGAGAGGCAGCTGGGATGAACTAGGTCTTTTTCGAATGTGGGAACGGACGCGAGCGCACACTCCCGGCGATGAGGCGGGGCCTGAGGGTCCTTGTTTTCCCGCTCCCAGCGCGCGCTCTCCTCGTTCTGCTCCACCCCCTCAGCGACGCCGCGGTCGCGGAAGGCCTCTTGTACTCTGGGGTGGCCCCGCCCCTTCATCCGCGCAATTGACCGCTGCCCTGGAAGCGGGGTGGGGGCGGGGCCTTCTCTGTTTCGTCCCGCGCGTTCATTTACTACGGCTGTGACCGGGATTTCGCGGGTCGAGGCAAATCCATTTTTGCTCTCTTCCCTTTTGTCCAAATGGTATGTCTCGTTGGCTTGATACGTAGAAGACCCCTTCAAGCCCTGGTCTAAAATAAAGACGTGGACGGAATAAATGGTCATCCCGGGAGACAGAGGTTGCCTCAGTTCCAAGACTGACGCCCTGTTTATATTTGAAAAAGAAAATCAATGGAGTAGAGTTTTGCGTGTAAATTACACGAAATACACATTGTGTTTCTGTGTTTTGCCTCTTAATTTAAAAGAGACTGACATATTCCGGCCTTGAAAACCATGTATTTTCTCAAGATGGCTTACAAATAGTTTGAAAGACAGTTCGGATTTTAGAGTAAAAACAGTGGCTAACACTGTACACCATATAATTAATATAAGCAAAGATAAGTAAATTGCATAATTTAAATCGCGTAAATTATTGACAATGTTTTAGAGGCTAATACATTAAAGGCTCAACTAGGTGGCAGTACCTTACCAACCTTGCTGATTTTAAAAGCTAAACTACTTAGTCCAGTAAGTAAAAGTTGGGAGGCCACCAGGAAATTCCCAGTACTGGGAAAACCCCTGCCCCCTCCCCAAAAAGAAATAAAAGAAAACAGTTGTAGACTACTTTAGTGATGCTTTAAAAAAAACTATATGTCCATGAAATTACCAAAAACCTCAAGTCAGTTTTAACTTTTTGTACATTATACACGCAGACACATATCTAAATAATGAGCAAAATAAACCATGGTGACTTGAAGCAGAGCCTCTGAGTAAAATCTTGAAGCAACAGAGAATGCTTATTTTATTTGCTTATCAACAGTATTTTTTTATACCAACAATATTTTTATCCCCAGGCTACTGTTTATATCTCAGTATGCCACAGTCCCTGAATGATTTTGTCTGGGATGAGAAACTAAACAGTTTGTACTTTGTTAGCATCTGAATATGAAGAGGCGCAATGGCTCAGTGGCTTAATGACACTGGAGATGGTCTCTGCTCCAGCAGTTCAAGCCCTAGCATTGGGTGTCGGGGTAAGCTCCCATCACTTGCCTTAGTTTCTGTCAACTTGACAGTTCAAAAGCATGTTCTATGCAAGTAGATCAATAGGTACCACTTTGATTGGGGAGACGAGTTGGTACTTTATGCAGTAGTCAGATTCCTGCTGACTCTGAATCTTCTCAGCCGTGGCACCTGTTTGTGTGGTGGCTATGAGGAAGGCGAGGTGACGCTGCAGAAAGAGCCGCTTGTCTTTTTGGTGTGAAGCAACTTGTCCTCCTGTATTTCCTACAACAGAACTGGTACACTGGCAGCCAAACTACTACTCTGCGATAATATTGTGGTCTCCTGGCTAATGTAACAAGGCCATATACTAATAATAATCTGAATATGCGACTTCCAAGGAATATAGTATAAGAGCTATAGGCTAGGGGTCTATGACAGTTCGCTATGGCCAACTTGCCACAGCCAGCTCGCTGTGGGACAACTCGTTGCTGGACAAAATTTATGCTAATAACAAAGAAATGGTGGAATACACTAATTAAAGGATGCAAAAGGAGGAACAGAATGAATTGTGATTGACAAAAATTAAAATATTTATTTATTTTAAATAATTAAATAGAATTCTCTGCAGTGAGTTTTCCCATGGCAAGTTGGCTGTGGTGAGTTGGCCGTGGCGAGTTGGCCATGATGAGTTGGCCACAGCGAGTTGGTTGTGGCAAGTTGCCCCATTCCATAGGTTAGATATGAAATTCGTAAAAAAAGTCATTCAGGAATAAAGCAGTGAGAAACAACTTCTGTACTGTTACCAGGAAAATCAAAAAGATGTGTTCATAAAATCAGCAGCAGTCAAGCTCGATTCAGAAGAAATTACACATGCCTTTTTCCAAATAGTGCTAAGCAAAGTACATGATTAAAGGTTTGGGGAGTTTTTTATTTGAGCAAACATGTTTGATGAAGCTTAAACATTTCTGTGTTATATGCACGGCTGATAAATAACAACCTTATCCTTTCTTTATAGAGATCTTAAAAGAACTCGATGATTATTATGAAAAATTCAAACGGGAAACAGATGCAGTACAAAAGAGAAGATTATTGCATTGTATACAGAGAGCACTGATTCGGAGTCAAGAACTGGGAGATGAAAAGATCCAAATTGTCAGTCAAATGGTAGAACTCGTCGAGAACAGAACTAGACAAGTTGATAGTCATGTAGAATTATTTGAAACCTGCCAAGAGACTAATGATATTACTGGAAATAACGGTAAGACTAACCAAGACAAATCAAAGAATGAAACATTGACTCAGGCAGAAAAGCCCAACAATAAGCGATCCAGAAGGCAAAGAAATAATGAAAATCGTGAGAATGCTTCTAATAATCACGATCATGATGACATCACTTCAGGAACACCAAAGGAGAAGAAAGCAAAAACTTCCAAGAAAAAGAAGAGATCTAAGACCAAAGCAGAGAGGGAAGCTTCCCCTGCAGACCTGCCCATTGATCCCAATGAGCCAACCTACTGTTTGTGTAATCAGGTCTCCTATGGAGAAATGATAGGCTGTGACAATGATGAATGCCCAATTGAATGGTTTCACTTCTCATGTGTGGGACTCAATCATAAACCCAAGGGCAAGTGGTACTGTCCCAAATGTAGAGGAGAAAATGAGAAAACGATGGACAAAGCCCTAGAGAAATCTAAAAAAGAAAGAGCTTACAATAGGTAGTCTCTAGTTTAAAAGCAAATAAAGCCCTGAGAACTGATATTTATTTCCTGCCTCACCTTTTTGTTGAGATTACAGGATTGTAAAATGTATATTTTTAAAGGTGGTTATACATCAAACCATTCTTGTCATAGGAATGGCAATAGGAAAAATGTTTGGGTTTTTTCCTTTGATACAGTTGTTAGCAAAAAAATGAACTGTTGGTTCATCTTATAAGAAACATATTTTCACAAATTGGTAAGACTTCACCTGTGAAAATGTAGATGGAAACTTGAATAACATTTTTCATTCTTCCTTGTAGAAGAATGTGGTCTTGTCTTTCCAGAAAAGTATTCTGTAGTTTGAATAAAGCAGCATTATCTTGCAAGTTTAACTAAAATACAACCAAATGTAGAGCGTAGGTACTTAAACCATCTTATTTTAGTTAGGTTTAAGCACACTTAACTCTGAATTGGTTTTATGGCTTGGAAGTATGTGTTCTTTGTGTCAGTTAAAAATAATTCCAAAACTATGAGCTATCACCATACATCCTATTAAAACATCTTACTGGGAATTAAAGACCATTGCTTTCAGCGGGTTTTGGTTTCTAAGAGAGATGAAGGTGAACTTTTCTGTTGGTGATTGATGCAATAGCAAAGGAAAAGAAGTTACAGCATGGCTCCTATTAAATGTGTCACTCTTAATAGCTCTCTATGACAACATGTTACAAGCTTATTTTTTAAAAATGCAGAAGGTTAAATTTTACACAACATATTTTATATACTGGCCAACTACCACAAAGGCCTTTTAAAAATGATTTAGTATATTTTGTATTTAACCAGAATATGGTTTAGTAGTGAAACTTAACATAAATCAAGGCTTTATACTGTCACAGAATAATAGTGTAGCAGTCTTTACTTTGTATAAGTTGTACAAATGTACATTTTCAAGTGGAATTGCACTTAACTGTATTATAATTGGAAATGCATCTACATACCATGGTGTAGTCAATATGCATTTCCTTCTGTATGTATGAAAGTTGTACAGTTGTGATATTAAGGAATAAATTAAACAAATTGGATAATCCAGTTCACACCAGTGTTACTTCTTTCTTTTCCTTTTGTTGTTCCTTTAGTTTTGAATTTATTGGATTGTGAACATATATTTTAATCTCTGCATTTAGAAAAATTTAAATACTTTAGAAGTGATCAATATAGTCCTATGAAGAAAAAGTGCATATTTTCCTAAATAATCCACTATTGATTTCTAAAAAGATGTCAGTGTTAGTTAATCTTTTTCTGCCTAGACACACACACACACACTCATATATATATATATATACTAGACAACCCATGACTCATTGGGTCATCACTTCAAAGATATTTCGTTACCTAAATAGTGAAAGAGAATGACCATGAACAGGCAAAAAAAAATAAGTGGGAATGACTTCTGACTTCCCATCAGCTTCCCCATTGAGGTTTCTTGTGGGAAGCTGGCAGGAAGCATTGGAAAACATGTTTCTTTTTTGCTTTCCCTCCCTCCCTCCCTCCCTCTTCCTGTCACACCTTGAGTTTGGAGTTCCTACCAGCTTTCCCACTGACTTAAATGAGGATTATGAAATCATCCAGAAGTTATAAGCCCGAAGCCAGCAGGTAGTAACTGGTTGCTGCTGGGTGGGGGAGGGAGGGCTTGTGCGAGTGGCTGGCATGTGCTCAGAAGGACTGGGGAAGGGGTAGGGGAGACTTACATAATTTGGGACACTTCCCTGCCAGCTTCCCCATTGAAAGTAAAGCCTTTCTATTGGGAAGGTTGCAAGAGATGTCTGTAATCACAGTTCTTGCTATTTCCTATTGACTTTTGGGAAGCTTGTCAGGGAGCATGGAAACAAGAATCACTTGACCTCAACAGCATGGCGGTTCTAAAGTGGCGCAACTTTTCCAAATTTTATTTCCTGGTATATCATGGGTTCCAGTATTCTAAAAGATTGCATGTTTGAGTTACCTTGTTTCAATAATTATTGCCTTATAGCTTCCAGTTTCACCCAATTGAAGGTTGCAAATTAAACATGAGACTTTTTGTAGAATATAAATATATAAACATAATCTCCATCCATTTTCTTGATATCACAAACTCAAGGATAACACAATTACTTTCCTCCAGGAAATCACCTTCATTTTTTCAACCAGTTCTACCCTATGGGTGAGGATTAGGTTCAATATAATAGACCCCTTTGTTATTTCATCTGCCTTCTGACAAAAGTTGTCAGTAAGAGAAAAGAGTTAAACTTCTGACTTGCCAGAGTTACACATGCCCAGCATATGTCAGCATAACTGAAATCCTCATTATTATTATTGGATATTTCTTTGAAAGACTAATAATCTGATGCAGAAAGATCTTATCTGTATCTTCTGCCTGCCGTGATAATCTATAATGAAAGAGGTTTTTGTTTATTTATTGTTACCCAAATACTTTAAACAGAGTTTCCATGCTTTGATTTCTGAATTTTAAGCATATTTTTTCTTTAGATTCTGAGAATATGCACCTGTCTCTTGAGTCTGTGAGATGGGCAGCCCTATAGATCAATTAATTTATCTTTTTGAATCAATTGCACTTTTTCAGTACTTTGGAACTCATCAGTGTCGTTCCATCAAGTTTCAGGATTGCCTATAACATGTTTATCTTCTTAAATTAAAATCTCTAGTTATTTCCCACAATCCTTTTTGCACTGATGTAGCTACATTTAAAATTTTGAGTACCATCGATCACTCTCTTGTCTTCTGCAAAACTCCCAAGTGTTCATTCTGCTTATCCCATTATTTTCCTCTTGTGTTCTGCTTTCTTGGTCTTTGTCCATACAAAAGTCATGTATTTAGTTCTGAACTTTTGCTGTCTTCCTATTCTAATTTTATACCATTCTAATGAAGTTTGTGAGGCAGCTGCCAAATATTTCCTTCCTTGTTTTTGTAAGATGTTTCTTCCAGAAATCTTTCATATCATAGACCATTGTTTCTCAACTTCTCCAATATTCTGGGATGTCAACTCCCAGAATGCCAGCCAGTTGAAGTCTACACATCGTAATGTTGCAGAGGTTGAGAAACACTGGCACAAACCATTGTCAGTATCCCTGGTGACACCATTTGAGTAATCAAATTTTGACTTCCAGGATTATGTTTTCTTCATGACCTAATGTTGAAAAAATGATGAAAAATCTATTTGCTTCCATTTCCTTCACTTTCATGCCCAAAGTCTCGTAGTCTCCAGATTCCTTTCAGGATTTTTTGTCATTCTCGCATGGACAAACCCATTGTCAGTGGGTTTCAATAGGCTAAGTGCCATTTCTGTCATATCTTATACACTGTAAAAGGCACAACATCTTACTGAATCTGCATATAGCTGTTCAGTTCCCCTTCACAGAGAAACACTTAATACCATCACATACCCCTTCTTTCTCAGAGCATTTCTTTGATTTTTGTTGATCCAATGTTCTGTGGCATGGTTTTCTCAGGTGACTGACAGTCATTCTCTAGAACTGTGTTTATCTCAGCAATTTTAAGAGGTGTGGACTTCAATATGTTGGCTGGGAATTCTGGGAATTCTCTCAAAGTTGCTAAGGTTGAAAGACACTGGTCCAGAGGAACAGCCTGCCATGGATTCCTGTTTCCAATGGCACTGAGGTTTCTTCACTGTCCTGATTCCTCGGATCAGTCTTCTGTATGTTTACCAAAGGAAGTTTTTCTTGACCTTCTTGCTCTTTTGCTTCTCTTCCCATCTAGGAAAGCTGGCTTCTCTGATGTATTTCATTATAGCAACTATGCAATCAAATTCCAAAGGTGCTTGCAGTGCATGCCCAGATGCAGTTCCAAATCCTTATGAAGACTAGAAGCAAATTTAATTTAGCTATTGGCCTAAAAGCAATTCTGCTAGATGAAATACAGGATTTGTCGTTCGTTTTGTTTTTTTAATTTAAAACCCTTTGACCAGAAGGATAATTCTATTCCCTTAAGGCTAATTGAAATATTTTCCAGTCCAATATTTTACCGATACTCAACACAGTATTTGATCTCAATTGGCTAAACGCAGTCAGAGACAAACAACGGATTCTCAATCTTGATCTACAGAAGAACCCAACTTCTACTTCAAAAATCTACCACGTAGGTATGCAAGAGAGACCATTCTAAGCAGTCAGGTAGTTCTTTAACATCCCATGCCCAAAACACATACCAGCTTTTAGATTAAATTAATATCTTACTTTTAACAATTCTAGAAGAAAATTAAATGGCAAGTGGCATGCCCATACAAGATAGTCTATATCTATATCCATAGGGAGAAATCCAATCAATAGCATACAGTTTTCTTCATTGCTCTTTTTACTCTGATTGGTGCAAAGATGTAATCACATCTCTTTTAATTGCCAAGCACTGCAAAATTGAAGCTGATCCTATTTTTCCCAATTTTTCAAATACAGTATCTTGAAGTCCCAAAACTTTCAGGAATATACCGTAACTAAATTTTCCTTGATTGCCATTGGTATTCTTCAGGAGATTGCATTATTATATTATTATTAATATTTTATCCCACTTTTAAATATACACTCACAAACACACATGCACAAAACTACCTACCTATAATCAATAGACTGCAAAGCAGTGTAGAGACCAGTTACAAGTATTTTGGTATTCCACAGTTTCAGGGGAACCATAGTAAGGGGGCAAGGAAGTCAACAACATTCAAGTACCACTACAAGATAAGGCAGGTCCTGAAGAGCCAGTTCAATGGGAAGAACAAGATTTGCACAATCAACATGTATGCCCTGCCAGTAATCAGATATCCTGCCAGAATAGTAAGCTGGCCGAAAGAGAGCATGGAAGCTGATGATATGAAAACCTGGACTCTCATCATGATGTTTGGAAATTTCTACCTCAGGTTCAATATCCAGAGACTACATCAGTTGGAAAGAGAGTGAGTGGAGTCTAATGAGTTTTGAAACCACTGGATGAAATCCACGGCATCCAGGAGTACATGAGTAAAATGGCACCCAAGGATGAGCTGTTGAGAGAATGCCTGAGGCAGCAGCAGACATGTTAGGAAGATCAAGCAGAGGAAGTGCCATAGCAAGAGAGGACCTTGTGTGGAATGTACCATCAACAGATAGTTGAGATGGTGGGCACTGGGAAATCCCACTAGTGGCTGGAAAGGGCTGGACTAAAATACAGCACAGAGGCACTGTTTTTGCAGCACAACAAGCACTAAGCACCAGATCTATAGAAGCAGGGGTCTACCATACTAGATAGGACCAAAGGTGCAGACTTTGCAGAAACGCTTTAGTGACAGTCCAGCATATAGTGGAGGGTATAAGATACTGGCAGGAACAATGTACATTGAATGACAACCAAATAGCTGGCATTATGTACAGGAACATCTGCACAGTATATGGGCTAGAATCTAGATCCTCCCAAGTCCAGATGGAAGATTCCACAGAAGATCATGAAGAATACAAAGGTTAAAATCTTGTGGGACTTCCAGATGAACAGGTAGGTACTGGCCAATCAACCAGACATTGTGGTAGTAGACACGGACAGAAGACAGCTGTGGTAATAGATGTAACAGTGACAAGTGACAACAACATCCAGAAGAAGGAGTATGAGAAGCTGGAGAAGTGTCAAGGCCTGAAGGAGTAACTGGAGAGGATGTGGAATGTGAAGACCAAAGTGGTACCAGTGATAGTAAGAGCAGTGACTCTTAAGTAGGGGGTTGGCTACAACAGATCCCAGGAACAATATCAGAATTCTCTGTCCAAATGAGTGTAGTGCTAGAAACAGTTAAGATATTGCACAAAACCCTCAAACTCCCAGGTCTCTGGGAGGATCTGAAATTGAGGAAGACACATATCACTCATAGGGGTGAAAAGAGAATTTTAAAATAATTTTACATCTAATTATTTAGCTATCCTCAGGGCAGTGACCATACCTCTTACTCCTGCCTCTTATTTTCCCAAGAACAACAATCCCGTGAAGTGGGTTCTCTTGAGAATCTTCTGGCCCAAAGTCACCCAGCTAGTTTTCACACCTAAGGGAGGACTAGTTTCTAGGCAAG